GTGTAAGACGAGGTCATGATGAATAGCCTAGACTAGCCTAGGCTAATGACCTGTACGTCAATAGCTTATCCTGGAGTAGAGGAAGCGTCCAGGACGGGTACCTCTCGGCACCGAGGAAAGGCACATCTCGGGGACCGAGGGAGGTATGCCGACCGAGGTACATATCAGACCGAGGCCACGTGTTGGTTGTAAAAAACATACTGAACGCATGATCCTATACGACGAGTACCTCGGGGGCGAGGACCTTTTGCGCCGATGGTGCTTGATCTTAGCAACAGTGTTTTGGTAATACCGATGACACGTGTCTTCATCATGGAGTATCTCAGAAAAGTCCCATCACCAGCGTATAACAATGCCTTTTTTTTTTTTTAACTTGAAAATGGCCCATAATCAGATTGAAAAAAATCAAATTAAATTCAAATTCAAGTTAACATGTAATTGAAAGTTTTATAATTTGAGTTGAATCCAAATTAAAAATAGATTTCGAACAGTGGCAGAAAAACTACTATCTTTTGTACAGTCAGAGGGTGAGGCCCACATTATATGTGTCATAATCATAGCTAGACGCCTTCCAATTACCCTAAATTCCTAAACCTCCCCGTCTCCACCACCCAAACCCAAAGTGCAGGTTCAATGGCCTAAACCATTCACATTTCTCTCCTAACAGGTTAATGGCTCAGTGGATGGAGGTACTATTCAATACCTATTCTTTGAAAAGTACCTTTTTCCCGTACCTCAGGTGATGCAGTGTCAAATTCAATATTAGTAAGCATACAAGGAAAGTCCAACAAGATGTAATAAAAACTGCGATGTACCACAGCAAAAACACTAGCAACGAGTGAGCACCCTTGGGCAGCAGACATTTCAGTCTGATCATGATCCTTTTAAGTGGGAAATATTTCCAGCTAACTCGTATGGCACATTGAGTCTAAGGATAATAGTTTCCCATTCTAAGTTTCTAATGAAATAAGGCACTAACACCCCTCTTCTAAATCTTGCGGATGATACACCAAATTCACTGGACTATATTGTTGTTTATCAATCACAAACCACCAATCCTACGGGTATCATGAATCAAACTTTTGCAGTCATGACTATGGCCGACATGTACAAGTGCATATTTAGGATGTTGCCAACACAAAAGACTATGCATCAACAATTATTTTATAAATGGGCCCCAAACAATTTTTTATTCAATCCTACATGTGATAACCCCCTTTAGCCCACAATCCAAACACCCCCAAAGGATATCAAGGGGATAGTCACAAATGGGGCAAACATAAAGGAGCAACTTATCGCTCATCACAAACCAACAATTGAACACGGAAATCAGCTAACCATACCTAAAGCTTTTAACTCAAAACATAAGCATGAGAATGATTAAGGGGTTTCTTGTAAAGCTACTTTATAAATTAGATGCTGCTGTTGGATGCATGGTATTTTGTGGTTTTTGCAAAGAGTGATATAGAACAAGAAAACTCCCACACCGATGAAATCGTAGTTGATGAAAGTTTTGAACCTGAAATATAATCTTTCTTGTACATAGTTTTCTTATGTAGCAATTCAACAGCTTCTGGAAGACATAATCGGCTTGGATAAGGCATTAATTTTCTTTCTACCAACTGTAAAACGAATAGGAAGCTCATAGCAGTTTCAAATGCGTGTTTGCAATTCTCAACCTTTGGATTGTTATCCAAAATCTATTTTTCTCTGTAGATCAAAAAACATATATCCTACCCTTGCATGTTGACAGTTTTTAAATGCTGATTATTTGACTAATGGCAAACTATAACATCATTCCGACTAATCTAATGGTTTCATGTTTATACCAGCAGTTAGCATGGGAATGTCTTTGTGTGGGTTGGCGAGGTTAAAGAAACTAGAGGAGATGAAGAACTCGCAGCAGAAACAGAAGATTCTGTGTTTGTGATCCAGTGCCCCTATGTCACGTTAGAATTTGCATTCATCGAAACATCAGCCGGAAAATTCTTGACTCTGAGGTTCTCAGCCATGGGATGGAAGCATTAGATGACCATGCTTCATAAATTCACAGGTATGCATACCCCAATATAGATCTTTTTTTTCATGTCATTGCTGGAATACTGCTAATGGCTTGATGTTGATTGCCTTTTCAATTCCACTTATCTCCAACTCTGACTTAAATTTAGACTCAAATTTAAATTTGAATAAAAAATTTAAAAACTTACTCCAACTCTTACTCAAACTTATACAAAATCAAATGAGACTCTTTTTTTTACTCAAATTAAAGGAGATTCAAATTTTTATCCAAATCTTTAATGGTAAGATTTCACCCTCTTTTACAAATTTAATGGTCATCTTTACTCTTATTTAATTTTGGGTTTGTCCTTATTTAAATTTAAATTTCTCCTTCTTTAAATTTGAATTTGTCCATTGGAACTCTTTGAATCGAATTAAGTTTTTTACTCAAATACTAACTTAAATTTGGATAAAAATTTAAGTTAAGGTTGAAAATACTCTAAGACAAATTTTTTGTAATTCTTCGAACTCCGAGGGGGGTTCTTGTGGCTATTAGACATGCTTGATTAGAATTGGTGGGTCCGTTATGTGTAATGCTTTTGTAGATGTTTTATGTGAGCATGTGTTTTTTTATTGGGAACAAAGTTGTTTGTAATTTACTGTTTTAAACTTTATTGCCTAATTGCACACAACTTGACCCAAGGATAAATTTTTTTAGTTAGTTTCATTCACCAACCAATTAGAATATTCAAATTTAAAGGTGTTTTAGAATGTTTTGAGATATTTTGACATGTTTTTTAATTTGTTTAAGTGTTTTATAAACAAATTTTCAATTTTTTTTTATTTCTACTCCTATTTCTAAAATGTTCTCAAATTTTCTTTGATCCTTATTGATCGGTACAATTCTTTCTTCACAATCTAAAGCCTGTAAACATTTATTGGAATCGTTCCGGTTCTAGAAATGAGATAGGCCATGGTGATTATTTCTTGAGAAAATTGGAGCCAAAATTAGGTTATCTCTAATATTTACTCAAATTTAAGCTAACATTTAAGTAAAAAATTTAATTTGATATAAAATAATGTAATAGACAAACTCAAATTTTAAAAAAAAATGTAAAATATGATTATTAGATTTTTTTTAAAAGAGTAAAATCTGACCGTTAAAAATTTGAGTTTTCTTTGATTTGAATAATAATTTGATTCTCTCTCGTATAGGTTTGAGTTAGAGACCGGAGGTTTTCAAATTTCAATTCTAAAAATTTGGGTGAATTTTGGTTACCAAAATGGCGGAGATGGAATTTCTTTCGTCGAGATTTGAGACGCCTATTCTTCTTTCATCGACTGAGGAGCCGTTTGGTCTTTCCTTACGTCCTTCCAGAGCCGTTCACCTGTTCCGCTTCGGTTGAATGGTTGATTAAATGAAAAGGTAGTTCAGACAATTTAACTCAAAATGGACTTATGCCCAATTAAGTCCATGAAACAACACCGGCCCCCTAAAACCCATGAAAATACTAACTTGTTTTTATGTTGGACTTTTGTTATAGCTCTGACCAATTGAATCTAGCAAAATAAATTCATCGTGACTGAAATTCATAGCTACCGATCCAAACAAATTAACAACTTGAAAATTGGATACCCCTCCGATATATTTGTTCTTAATTGTATTCAATGTTAGATCATTCATCGTGTATTAAAATGAGATGCCTATATATAGTAGGTCCAACTTAAATTTACAATGATTGATGGAAAAATAAAGAAATTATACAAGAGGGGATTTGGATACCACTAACCTTTGGACTCATGAGACTCACTTTTAAAATTGTGGAGATACTTTGAAGGGGGATTTTTGGAAGTCGGTACATCTAATTAGATTTATTTGACAAAAAATATATATTAACAAATATTTTAGAAAAATGTACACTAGTTAGATACAAAGACATAAATGTTCATTTTAGGGAAGTAGTAGTGCATTAAATATTTCCTAGTTTTATGGGAGAACTTTAATATTTAATGCACATTGATTCATGTGTATTTATTAATATATATATACAAACAAGTATATATAAATACATATATATATGTATATATATATATATATATATATATATATATATATATATATATATAAGTACATATACAAGTATGTATATACGTGAAAAGTATAACATTGAAAGTGAAAAAGTGTAAAATATTATCTTATGTCTCACTTTATTTAATAGAAAGTGTAAAATGTTATATGTTAACATTGAAAGTGTAACACTTTCACACTTTCTCAATTAATTAACACTTTTAGTATAAGATGAGACATGTATATGTTATTTGTGTAACACTTTAGATAATGTCTTCCCTTACCTTGTGTAAATAGCTTGTTGCATTGTTATTGCTACACTGTTATTGTTACTTTCAATATTATTCTATAACACTTTACACTTTCCATTAAGGAATGTGAGATATGAGATAATATTTAACATTTTACATTTTCAATGTTACACTTTACACTTTCAATGTTACATTTTACACGTATATATATATATTAACAAATACACATGAATCAAGGTGCATTAAATACTAAAATTCTTCCATAAAACTAGGAGATATTTAATGCACCATTTTTCAAAGAACATACACATGGATCAATGGAGGACAAAAATATCACAAAAAAATTAGGCAAATTCAAATTGTGTACTTAGATACAAATAAGTATCAAAATTAAGGACTTAATAACCCTTTATTTTTTAGTATGTATTTTTTATTAAATAAATCTAATTTGGTGTACATCCTTACAATTTACCCTACTTTGAATTATTACTGTTTATACACAATATTTTTGCTTTGGACTAAGACTTATAACCCACGCCCATGTCCAGTATGGGCTCACAATTTTGGGCATGTGTCAGAGAGGGGTCAACAATTTGCCTAACTATTGTGGGCCGAACGAAGCCCAAAAGTTAAAGGAGCCCATCCCTTCCCTTCTCAAAGAAGGCAATTGCGTCTCACAATTTACAGGAGCTTGAGCTCATCGTCGCCTGTGAAGAGAAAGAGAGAGAGAGAGAGGACATAGGACAGAGAAAGAGAGAATGAGCGGAGTGGCGAAGAAGATAGCGGACGTGACGTTCAAGGCGGGGAAGGCCATAGACTGGGATGGTATGGCGAAGCTTCTCGTCTCCGACGAGGCCCGCAAGGAGTTCGTTAACCTCCGCCGTGCCTTCGACGAGGTCAACTCCGCTCTCCAGACCAAGTTCAGTCAGGTCCTCTCTCTTTCTCTCTTTCTATATTTATACCTAAATTTGTATTCTAGGGTTTTGTTTTTAATGGATATGGTACGGATCTGTAATCTACGGCTATTTGGGGTTTTCTGGTGTAGTGAGAATGACTGATCGATTTTGATTCTGGTTGATAAATTGGAAGGTGTTTTTGATTGGGAATTGATGCTTAGTCTGATTGCAAATTGGTACGAGGGCCTAAGTGTAAGTTAATCCATTTGTGGGATCAATGTGTATATAGTGATTTAAATTGCAATATTGCACAAATAGTGTTTTTTGTTTTAGTTTTCATTTCATAACAAAAGGTTATTAGTAGGACTGTGAAACGGATTGAGGTACTCAATCTAAGCATGTGACTTGCTCAGGACCTAAGACAAATAAGCTAAGCTTGAACACATTTTAGAGCTCGCTACATGTTGAACGTTTTAGAACTCGTTACATGTTGAACGTTTTAGAACTCGTTACTAGGTTGCTTTGGCTTGGCTCCTAATCAGCTCATTAAGCTTGTTTGATATTGACTCAACCCACTGTTTCGTGTGGCTCGGCCTGTTAACAACGGATCGTTCGAATGTGGAGTTTGAGTGCTGTGATGTGTGATTCTTTCAGCAGGCCTGTTAACTGATTTGAACATTGAAGCAACTTTTCCAACATGTGAAGGTCGTCAGTAAATAATAACTAAATGTGAATTGCCCTATCCAAGACTTAACATCTGATCCTTCTTACATTTCTTGATATGTGGTTCTTGATTTTCGGTTTTGGCCATATTCTGTTGTTCCATCGTTGATGTTCCACACATTTGCTAGCACTAGCAGGTGCTTTGATTTACCATATCAATTTATCTCTACAACTATCACTTTCCATCATTTTTACTTGGAGCATCGGGGAGGAATTGGTCCCCATGTGTGAGCATTGAATATGAATTATATGTCTGTTAACACGTGCAAAATTATAATTGCTTGCAGCATTGTTTGACTTAATGAGTGGCTTTATCCCCAGTTACCTAATATTCATTTGGTGCTAATCCCTGTTGTTCTATATGTATGCATCTTATTTGATCAAGGCAAGAACTTGGTGTTTTATATCAGGGTGGGGGGAGATGAGGCTTGTCCTTTGGTCGAGTGTTTGGTAACAGTAGTCCCATGTAAAATGGGCTAACCCTTGATCTCCTCTATGTATGCATCTTGTTACATAATAGAACAACATATTTTGCGGACAACATTTCAAGAATGAATTTGTTCTGCAGATTGCATTTTTTAGTAGCTTGATTACAAGAAAATAACACCTAGTTTAGTCCCCATTAATGCAGATCTTGAGGGGATAGAGTCGACTAGATGCAGACGTTATTTGCACAAAAATGATTGTCCTCTATTTCAAAGCCTCAATCTCAAGATTATCGGGTCGTATTTGAGACAATGAACCAATGACCCTGTTGGATTGCTCTTACTATTAAATGATTATAAACCTTAGATTCTCACTTTTTGATCATGCAGGAACCGGAACCCATAGACTGGGAGTATTATAGAAAAGGAATTGGCTCTCGCTTGGTTGATATGTACAAAGAAGCATATGAGAGTATGTCCTATACGTTCCTAATTTATTCTCTTTGTTTTAGATTTCTGTCTCATTACATTTTACGAAGAATCACCTGTGATAAAACTAACCTTGTTCCAAACTCTGCAATTTCACGATGTATTGATCTAAAACAAATTCTAAGAAGATAAGAAGTACAATTATATGAAATAAAAAAGTTTTGGATTTTGATTGGCCAAATTCTTGCGTTCTTAATCTCAATTATTGCGCTGGGTTTTAGACTTGGTCCTCAATAAGGGGGTCCTCAAGGAAGTGTCTTCAGCTAAAAATTGTTTCACCCTGAAATAATACTAATTTTATTGAACATGAATTTTTTCTTTGATCTTTACTGGGAATGAAAACTCCTACAGTAAATTCCATTAATCTGACCCCTTTTAGACTTAGAAGAAAGTGAATATTAATGAAACAAAATGAGACGTATCAGCCCCTGTTTTCCTTTCAGTTGTTAGATTCTAAAACCTCCCTGAAATATTTTATGGCTTCCATTCAACACATTTAATCTATTGCCTTTATGCTAGCTTGACTTGTACTTGTCAAATTGAACCTTCTTGTTGCCTTGCAGGCATTGAAATTCCCAAGTATGTGGACACCGTCACTCCTCAGTATAAACCCAAGTTTGATTCATTGGTGAGGAAAATATTATTGTATAACGGTCAGAAGTTATTTTGATATCACTAATTAATCTTCAGCATATTCAACCTTTTGAATGATGAAGAATTTTATATTTTTCCTGTTTTATCTTTTTTAACTACATAACAATACAATGAGGATGAAAAATGGATATGTAACATTCTATGGGTCTGGTAAAGATTCATTGTCTTTCTACTTGGTGGGATGATAGTTTGAAAAGTTTCTTCGGAAATTGAAGAAGCAAACTTTTATATGTGAAGCTGATTGAATAGTTGTCATTGGAGTAATAGTCCACATGTATGTTTGTATAATTCAGATGAAATGGTCCTCAATAGTACTCGAGGGTGGGAAATAGTTTGTTTTCTATAATATTGGGTGAACCATCTAATCTGTATCTATTGAGCTTACAGTTGGTGGAACTGAAAGAAGCGGAGGAGTTATCCCTGAAGGAGTCTGAAAGATTAGAAACAGAAATTGCAGAAGTGCAAGAGTTGAAGGTGATGTGAAACAAGCTCTAGTTCATCCATTTCGTCACGTATTGGCTTCTCTCCATTGTGTTTTATCATCTTACTTGGATTTTCCATGGTGTTTTACTATAACAGAAAAAGCTTAGTACGATGACTGCTGATGAATACTTTGAGAAGCATCCAGAGCTGAAGAAGAAGTTTGATGATGAAATCCGAAATGATTATTGGGGCTATTGATGTCAGTTTCGCGTATCAGTCATTGGGATCACCTTTGTCAGGTGAACTTTTTTAAGTACCTTTGTCAGGTGAACTCTTTTAAGTTCGTCCCTATTTGTCCCAGGTTTAGAAATAAAAACAGAACACAACTTGGTTAATGGTTTAGTTGTTGTGGTACTTTGAATATTGTGAACAACAATATACTTTTGAGATGTCCTATTGAGGCCTCATCACACAGAGGCAAAAGATGAACAAATGCAGTCTATGAAAGTCCATGCTTGTTATGAGATGAGAAATGACTCTTGATCAAAGCTATTTCAAAATCAGATATTTTTATGGGTGTTGTTTTAACCTATTTTCCTACTGGTTTGTTTCATGAGGCAATACAGTTTTAATGAAAACTTTACTGAGGAAGAATCATTGTTTTTTACGATAGTGACATTCTTCTGTCCCATTCTTTGTCTAGACCTACTATATAATATCTCAACCTTTATGTATTTGTTCTGGAATCAATCATTAAACAGTCTATTTAGGTTAGATTTTTGAGTTTTCTTAGTCTATGTATTCAGAGAAATTATAAATTACAGAATTTCAAAAGGTTTTTTGTGGATGAAAAATGTTTGTTTAAGAAGATTAATTACAGAATACCAGAGTGGTACAGGACATGCCCCCTTACACCCCTCATAAATCAGAATTAAAAAAAGAAAAGAAAAGATGAACTGTTTTAGTTTCTTCATATTAGGGATTTATTTAGATGGTGGTTAAAAAATTACATTTTGGGCAGCAAAAAGTCTCTGTTACCTGTTTTTGTTTCACTGAAACCTTAAAACGTTGAACATATATAACATTGAATAGGTGTTTTGGGTTTTTTTTTTTTTTTTTTTTTTTTTGGGGGGGGGGGTTGAGGTTAAGTATGTTTTAACAGTAAAAATCCTTAGAAACAAGTAGAAATCTCTTGAACAAAAAGCTAGTCAACGAAGAAATTAATGAAAGTGTATGATTGTGATTCCGAAATCTTACCTTCTTTGATGGTGATTACTCAACAGATCGAAATCATTAGAAATTGAGATTTGCTTTAGGGCTAATTTAACTTTGTACTCTAAAAGATATTTTGATTTTTAATTTGTACACTCAAAAATCAAAAAATTTAATTTACACACTTAATGTTGTGAATTGATAGCAATATGGGTCTCGTCCATTATGTTGTTTAATTTTTTTGTCATAAATTAAATCACATGAGTTGCAAATGTTTCAGGCATGAAGGATAAGGAGTATTTATCATTGTAGATCGTTGTCTACGATCAATTTAACGTTGTTTTATGTATCAAAAATAAGGTTTCGTTAATCAAATAGAGGTTAAGTTTATCATGTGTAACTCACATGAGACCCAACAGTCTTTAAATTTATACATAAATTCATGGCAGAAGCATGTACAATTCATGTGTTTCAATTTATAAAGAAAAACTAAACGATAGTTTGGATAAAGTTCACATTGTTACCAATTCTTAATATTGAGGGTATAAATTAAAAATTTTAATGTTTGAGGGTATAAAATGAAATTAAAACATCTTTCAAGTTACAAAAATACAAAGTAACATTAGCCATTTGCTTTATTGTCACACTTACCATATCCACCAAACCAGTTATTGAGCTCACTGCCATGTGACTTTGTCTCCTGTATGTGTTTGAGTTGCAGAATAATCACGACCCATGTTACCTGTACACATTATCTACACTCCTATCTTTACATGTGCTGAGTGATTGGAATAAATGGGATTAATATCATATATATATATATATATATATATATATATATATATATATATATATATATATATATATATATATATATATATATTGTATTCTCTATTATGAGTTGGGTCAATAGTTGTATGTGATTCTTCCACTCTGTGCTTTACATCTTTAATATTTGTATGCTGGACTGCTCAGGACTATTCTGCTCGGGCCAAGTCTACGGTTTGGGGTCAAGTTAAACACTCAGAAAAAATTGTAACATAACCCAAAAAAATCGTAATTTTTTTTTTTTTGTAACTAGACCCCTAAATTATATCTTTACCCATAAAAATACACGCAAAGATATAAACCCAGTCAGAAAAATGGAATTTTCTTCCGACCGAGAAACCTTGGGAAAAATTAAGTTGGTTTTCAGGTTATCTGCCAAACATCATGGTTCCAGATCAAAAAGGCAATATAATATTATAGTTATTATTGATTTGACCAACCTTATTCCTATTTTAGATAGGTTAATCCTTAAACTTAAAACCGTGACATAATATTTAGACAGATAAGCTTATTATCAGTTTAGATCTAACCTCGAATAACTTGGTACGCATTTTTTTTATACAAAAAATTTTATGTGATAGTCGCAAAAGTGCATTTTCTATGGCAGTCCAGCCACGGCTTCCAAAAATATGAACAATGACTATAATCATGAGCGGCACACGCGTAACTCATCGATTATTATTATACTAGAGATCCCCTATAATGCACTCCACAAAGGTCGGTGCTAATATGTATCATACAGTATTTAATTACACCCCGGCACGCGGGCAAGAGAAAAGAAAAAAAAGAGTTTTTTTAGAGGTCGGTTCTTAGGTTCAATAGGATTGTAAAAGAATTAATTTGCCAATTTTTTTTTTGGATTAAGTTTATGTTGAAAAATCGAAGTAATATAACTAACGTCATTTAAAAATTACAAAAATAACGATAATGTCATCATTTAATTGAAACACATATTTTAAAAAGTTATATCATTAAATGTATTTTTTTTTTCACAAACACAAATCGTCAGACAGATACATTAAAAAATAGATTGGCAAGCAAGTACAATAAAAATATAATGTTCATTTTTCTCTAAAAATACAGATCGTCAAACAGATATACTAAAATACAAACCGTGAAGCAAATACACTTAGAATTGTTCACACTCACTTACCTGATCGAAAACCTGAGGGTTTTTTTTTTTGGGTGATTGTGATTGTGGTAAAACTGTAATTACTGCAATGGCCACAGTCACTTCCAGAGAAATTCAAGAGATCGTCTCGAAGCTCTAGTCCGATAAAGCCAAAGTTTGAGAAATAGCCTCTGATTCTCACTTATTCTCTTTCGCCTCCGTTTTTTGGCCGACAAAGTGTGGAAAAGAGACCACAAAACAAGCCACTAAGAATCTTTCTGAATTCTTTTAATTTGAAAAAAAAATATAAAAAAAAATTGGATAGAACATTTTCAGACACACCAAGATGACAACACGTGTACTTAACAACAATGGAGACTTACTATTCGCAATACGCCATGGACCGACACGTATCCCTCGGTCAATTTGGATATATCGGTCCCTAATCATGTTAGTCCACTGACACCGAAGAGTATTTGTCTACGTGGGCATTTCTGCTCCTGCAGGGGACTATTGATTGACAGTTTACTAGTTTAAGCTAAGTTAGACTAGCCATCATAATATCGTCCTACTCAAATGGTGTCAGGAGGCACAAGAAAGCAGAAGGCTCAACCAAAGGAGAATGGGCACATGACACATTGTGTCAGGTCAGAGACTAAAAGACCAGAATGTCCTTACTGACACACGACTTGGGAGGGTAGACATTTAATGCATCATTCCCTTGATGAGACAGCATTTAATGCATAAGAGCCTGAAAGTAAAGACAATAAATGTTCCTATGCTTGGGCATTTAATACATCCCTCCCGAGAAAATGTCATTAAACACTTGACAGATCGAGGAGAAAACATTAGTTGTTCAGGGTCTCGAATAGTTAAGAATGAAGACATTTCTCATAGAAATTAGTGTACACATTGTCCACCTCTAATGATTATCTACTAGCTACGCTGTCAGCAATGATGAGTTTTGTAAGGTATAAATAGTTCTCACAAACATATTAAAAAGGTATGCAAAAACCCTTTCTCGAGGATGATATAATATTTTCTTCTTCTCCTCTCTCAAAGAATTGATTTGATCGTCGGAGGGAATACGCCGAAAAGCACTCCGGTGCCCTTCTAACCTATTTTTCTCTGTTTCAGGAATCTCTCTTAGCTTCCCAGGACCAATTAGGCGACCCATAAAAATAATTCATCACCACTTCTTAGCCCACTTTCGGCCCTCACAACCTATTCCAAGTAGTAAGATTGACCACTTGATCGACGGATTCGTGTTCACCACAAAAAGATCTGTTCTTCTGTTTATATTGTACAAGAATGTATATGCACATAATTCATTTGAACCTATGCAACTTAGGTTGAGATAATTTCGATTTTAAACTATTGTAATTTTTTTGCATTTTTTGGCAACTAGGCAGAGAATGTATGTGATTACATATTTGTTGGTTTTGATTTGGGGATCTTTGATATACTCACAGTTTTTTTCTCAATAAACACAAATCGTTAGGTTAAAAATCATGTAATAAAGGTAAAAATGGGTAGTGTGTTAATTAGGGTAAAATAGGTAATAAAAATACACTAACACATGAACCATATATAAATTTTTTCAAAATACGAAAGACCTTTTTTTATATTAAAAATTCGATAAGACTATAATTAATTTACGATAAGACTATAATTAATTTATATATTGAAGGAGGTATCCTAGCCTAATTAACTTAAAAAAAACATATAGCAAAAAGAACAATCATTGTTCAGTTGCATTCAACCACTCTAATAGGATTAGGAATAGAAATTCTAAATTATTTTATACTATGATCATATTACGAGTGATTTATTCTTCATAAATTTTTTAGTTCGGACATGAATTATATATTTTTTATCCAATTGAAAAAAAAATTAGTCAAAATACGCGTGGATTGACCTTGATAATCCTAACTACAATACCCAAAAAAAAAAAAAAATCAAATCAAAACTCTAAAGCTTCTAATATATTAATCCTTTTTGTTATTTTGGAAATGGTGCATCGTAAGCTTGAAGAAACATAATTAACAAATTAGTGCGTGAAAGAAATAAAACAAACTTGTGGGGTCTTAACTTTTAGTAGCAGCGGAGTCAGAAAATGGCAAAAACTTTTACCAAGTCGGTACTTGGTGGTGGTCCCCTAAATGGAGGACCATGGACTTTTTGCTCTGCTGTTTTCTTGCGGCATAATAATTCTTTCCGTTTATGAGTAACATAAAAACCGATTTTGATGGCACAATATAAATTCGATTTAAAATAATAAAGCCTTCTTCCATTTATATATTTTTGTGGATAGTCGATCCTTGAGTCCAAATAAAAAATAAAAAGAGTTACGTTAAGTAGCCAATAAATGACAACAAACATTAAACTCATCCAATCAAATATTGGACCGTTTGTAACTAACTTTTTTAAGTGAAAAATTATAATTTAAAAAATTTTACAAAAAAATTTCTAAAAATCGTTTAAAAGTATTTTTTAAAAAGTTAAAAAAGTCCGTTTACAATGACTTTCTAATTTTTTTAGTTTTTTGTGTTAAAATAAAAAAATATTTACATGTATCTATAAATTATGTATAATAATTCCCCAAATATAAATTTTAATTTTTTTTACGTCACTAATAATATTTTATGAATAGAATAAATTAAAATATTATATGAGATCCGCAACAAACTTCAAAATAAAAGCTCATAAAACCAACTTTTTCAATTAGCCTAACTAAGCATTTTATTATTCAAAAAATTGTTGCATAAGCCGATAAAAAAATAGATTCGGACAGACTTAACTCATTTCTTTACAAAATCTTTAAACATTACATATTTAAGTCAACTTCAAATATACCCATTATCATAAATTCAAAGAATTTTGATAATTCAATGTATAATTTTTATCCTCCATATTTTTTGTTTTTGCAATCTATAACCTCTCACGAGTTTAATCCTCGTTATTCCCTCCCTATATAAATCTGATTTTAAAAATAAAACTAAAAAAAGATGCTATACCGGTTATAGGGGGTAACGGCCGTTACTCCCCGTAAGCCACCAACTCCACCACAACAAACCGCCATTGTCATCACCACACTGTCCACTAACGCAACCTTTGTCCACCACGCATAATATCCACCCTCCAACTATATCCAATCGCTCCCACTTTCCACTCCCCACTCTTCCTCAAAATTACATTCCCAGCCCCTTTCCACCTGCCTGCAGCTCAAAACCATCCATCAATGGCAATTGGCAAATACCAAAACAAAATAGATACACTATACACAGACAATACATAAAGATAAAGATATACCTAAATTCACTGTCCATATCTTCACCGCTTATAGAGAGAGGGTAAAAGAAAAAGAGGAGAGAGAATATTACGCACATAAATTCTGTCGATACGTATAGAACTTTCCTCAACATTTTCATCATCATCATCAACAAGAAGCTTGAAGATCAAGCAATTGGAGTGTTTTTCAATTCGATTCTACAAGTTTGACTATTATGTCTGAGGTCAACGAGTCAAGGAGGTGGAGAGAAGACGTAACAAGTCCAGTCGGCGACACCGGAATTCGGTACTCCGGCGCCGCTGTCAATGGTGCCGGTATTGGAATTCCGGCGGGGGGGGTTGTTGGCGGTGGCAATGCTGGGCGTGAAACTGAGAATTGGAAGTTTCATGCCGTGGAGTTTGCGAAGGGATTGGCGGAGATGAGTGTGGAATTTGGGAAAGGTGTGAGGGATGTGGTGAAGCAGAGTGTGGTGAGAGAGGACTCGTACCTTGTGAGGAAGTTTGGGAAACCGTGTCAGAAGATTTGTGGTACTGTTTGTGGCAAATTGACGTTCTTGAATGACTATTTGCCGGAGGATCGTGATCCGGTGCATGCGTGGAGTGTGATTTTATCTGTATTAATTCTCGCCGTTGCAGGTAATTCTGATTTCATCTTCCGTTGTTTGATTGCAGAGAAAATGTAGCAAATGAGGAAATTGAATTTTGAATTCCTAATTATTCATGATTCGGATATCAGGAGATATGAATCGATAGATTCCAATTCAAACTGTTTTGTTTAGTTTTCTCAATTTATTAAACTGCCAAAGCTGGTTTCTAGGATTTAATCTCTGAATGTCAACGATGGTGAGAACATTTTGCAAGAGAAATCTGTTGATTTGATCAAAGAATCTTAAATTCCTGGCGAAGAAAAAAAATAGCATAATTTAAGCCTACATCAAAATGCACCCAAGATGTGGTAGGAGATAATTATGGACAGACTGACATTTGAATTGAGTGTTACAAGCGATGTGACATTGCTAGCATAAAAAGTGATTCGGGATGGTCATCGTAGAGTTTCAATTTGGGAGTAATTAGCCACTCTATGATTGATGTAAAATTCTTTTTATGCTAATGCCTCATTCAATTTATTGGATTCTATTGTCTTAGGCTTTGCAATGTAATGCAGAGAGTAACCGCAGTAGTCAATGGAATGAGAGGTTAGGTTCTAATTTTTTACTAATTTCTTTTGTAATTATTATTAGTTAGTTTGGGAGTTTGTTCTCATGCCAAGACCTGTCTTGGCATAGTGTAAGATTGCTCTATTGTTATGTGGGCATCAAATGTTGGAGTCAGAAAACAGACTCTCTGAATATAGGCCTACGACTGAGGGTTAAGACTAAATACGTGTGACTCTCCCCGGACTTCAGAGTGGCGAGTGACTCATGCAGTAGGCTGCCTTTTTTTTTTTTCCTTGTTCTCTTGCCCTAAGGAGAAAAAATTCAACCTCCTCATTTTGTATGTGAACTATGTTATTATTGATAATTAGTTTTTATTTTCAATTGCATCGCCTTCGTTCATCCAATTGCTCTGCCTTGTTCTTTCTCAACTCACAGTGTCTGCCAGGCATGATGACAAAATTTCCTAGTTGCCTTAGAATTATCTTTTTTCAAAAAATTTCTTTTTTCCTCGCAAACATACATTATGGATAATACAACTCCCTCGCAAGAATCAAGATTTCGTTTCGGTGCATTGTTTCGATCACTTAAGAAATATAAATGTTTCAATCTATTTTGAAAATAGAATGGAAACGAATAAAAAATTTAAAAATTATTTTTTTCGAAATATTGATCGAAATATACTAAATCATCTTGAAACATTATGAAACACCTTGACTAGAGTAGATGAATCCTTCCACAGGTCATGTACGTGGATTTTCTATAATCCCTGTTGTGTCTAAATTAGTCACCATTGCTTCTACCAATTAGGCCAGCGGCACAACTTTTTGGCATTTTATTTTTCATGACAACTATAATCCAGATGAAAGTGATAGTGTCTCAAGAAGAGAAGATGACACCCAAAGTTATCTTAACTAACCCACATGGCGGTTTTAACTTTGTAGTAGATTAATGGATTGGATTTTGGAACTTCAAGTTGGGTGATTGCTAAGTTCATTAAGTAATTTTGCGCAATGCTGGTGATGAGAAATTAGGCCTACCAGTACTTATAGCAGCCACATTCAACATCTGAAAGAGATATTCATGTTTGCCTGGGTACAGAGGTGCAGCAAGTCTCCTTAAAACTCGGTGGAGGGTTTAACCAACCCAACCAGTGGCACTTGTTGCTGAACTAGTTAAAAAAAGAAGTTGCACCTTGACTATTTTTTTTTTTTTTTTGGGGGGAGAGGGACTTGAACCCTTGACTTCAAGAAGGCAAAGTCTTAACAAGGTAAGGAGTACCATTGGACCAAAAGTTCGTTGGTAAACTGGGCCTTCACTAACACCTTCGAGTTTTGGTGCAATGGTAAGCGCTTCGATCCTACACTACAGGGACCTGTAGTCATCCATGGAGAAGCCAGAATGATTACAGTTGCTTAAAAATGCAGATGTTCGTTCATTTTGGTAAGGTTGTAGATAGCAAGTTGATGTAAATAAAATTTATCCCTACACATAGTTTATGTCTGTGTGTTTGTTGGTGTTGATAGGAAATGGTTGAGCTCAATCTTACAAAATCCCTCTGCATTATCATTGTGGACAATTATTCCACAGAACTTGACCTTTTAGAATAAAAATGAAACAGAGCTGCCACACATTAAATATATATTCAACCATGCCATGATTAGTACTAATATGTTGTGACCTATTTGTTGCTTTTTAACATCTTACTGACACAGTTACTAATATGCAGTGCTATATGTAAATAGAGAAGATCGTACAGCTGCTCCTTTAATGAAGAAACTGGTTGTACATCCTCCAAGTGCTACTCGTGTGTTGCTACCAGATGGTAGACACTTGGCTTATCAGGAGCAAGGTGTTACAGCTGATAGAGCTAGATTTTCAATGATCACTCCTCATTCTTTTCTATCATCTCGACTTGCAGGTAGAAATTTGTTAATCTTGAGCAATTCTAGATAAGTGGCTTAGGATAGGAATTGATGAGCAATAACTATTATTGGTAACAAGCAGCTAACATTCAATTTGTCATCTTTCTTGTGCAAACAGGAATACCTGGGCTTAAGGCTTCACTACTGAATGAATTCGGCATTCGCTTCGTGACTTACGATCTTCCAGGGTTTGGTGAAAGTGATCCTCATTCCAAAAGAAACCTTGAGTCATCAGCTCTGGATATGTTACACTTATCATATGCAGTGGGCATTACCGACAAGTTCTGGGTGGTGGGATACTCAGCTGCAAGCATGCATGCTTGGGCTGCACTCAGATACATTCCTGATCGAGTTGCAGGTTTGTTGGTCATTTTGCCCTCATTTTTTTATTCTTCCCAGTATGATACAGCATGTTCTAGGAATGGTTATAGCAACTGTAATTCCTCCAATTGACCTTTTATGAAGACAATACCTGTTACTGTGCAACTACACAACCATTAGATGGACTTCATCTCTTATCTATCCTTGATTAAATTTGCAGGTGCCCTCATGGTTGCCCCACTAATTAATCCCTATGAACTAAGCATGACTAGGGAAGAGAGACGTAAAACCTGGGAGAAATGGACAACTCGGAGGAAACTGATGTACTTTTTAGCTCGAAGGTTTTCTTGGTTTCTTCCTTACTTCTATCGGCAAAGCTTCCTGTCTGGAAACCTTGGTCATATAGATGAGTGGCTGTCGCTGTCCCTTGGAAAGAGGGTGAGTCATCGTGACTGACAATGGCTGTATCCCTATACCAGCTTTGATTTCAAGTATCTTCATAGTAGTGTTTTTTTTGGGTTGTTGTGGGAAGAATTACAGTAACAGCATGTCCTGAAAGAAAATCATCACAGAAAATGATTTATAATTTTGTTGACTAATTCAAGCAGTGCTCTCAAGCTAGGTTTTTTTGGGAGGTCCATGTACAGAAGGGATTTTCTTCTAGGAATTATTAAGTTGATGGTTTCTCACTGAATACAATGATAACTTGTCTAGGACAGAGCTTTGATAGAGGAACAAACATTTCAAGAATTTTGGCAGAGGGACGTGGAAGAATCGGTCAGACAGGGAAACGTAAAACCATTCGTGGAAGAAGCTGTCCTACAGGTTTCAAATTGGGGCTTCAGCCTAGCAGACCTCAAAATACAGAAGAAACGGCAAGGGAAAAGCATCATCCTTTGGCTTAAGTCTATTTACAGTCAAGCAGAAGAAAATTTGACAGGCTTTCTGGGCCCAATACATATGTGGCAGGTCAGTGCAGACTGCAGAGTCTTTCTCCTCCTGTTTATGAGAGTCCTGTTTGAATATCTAGGCAATAGTTACTACGAAGATAACTAGGTGTATTTCTCTATTCTGATTCTCTCCTCCGTTGCCCAATTATTCACACACACAAAAAAAACAAGGGAAAAAAATGTTTAATAGATCTCAATTTGATATAAAGTTTATGTAGTGATCCTCACAATCTCAAGGAGTTCACCCTCCCAAACTTCTTTTAGTTTTCCTCAGTGTCCCCAAGGACGTACAGAAAGAATTTGTTTCCTCATTGCCACAGCCCAAATGCTGGATCCTTCCCTTCTTGTTATGTAACACTGGTTTCCTTCACTGATTTTACTATGTTAGGTGATTGCATACATTTGAATATAGGAATGGAATTGATTTTCATTTGTGCTTATTGAAGCAGTTCTGGGCTGATCTTTTAACGCTCCTTTTGGTTTATGAACAGCAGTCAGGAAAATGAAGGAAAATGCTTTAGAACTCTTGAAATTTTCTTTTTTTTGTTAGCAATTTTAATCAGTTCTTTGACCTTTTGACACTTTTTTTTTTTTTCCTAAAACCCAAATGAACTTGCAGAAATATCTCTGGCGAAATGATGTAGGATTTGATGCATTTTAGTGAGTTGCCGGTGTAAAAAAATGTTTTCTTGTAGGCTAAAGCTTGAAATATACACTGAGACTGGAACTGGTGTCTTGAGACACATGCAGAACCTTAGATGTATGCTATATTTGTCCTCGTGGTGTGTTATCAATTTACAATGTCAGTTAAGAATTCAATTTATGCTGATTTTTTTTTTTTTTTTTGTTGAATTTTTCAATACTAAATAGGGGATGGACGATAGGGTGGTCCCACCGTCAATGAGTGATTTTGTGCAGCGAGTTCTACCAGGGGCCATGGTGCATAAGCTCCTTTATGAGGGTCATTTCACCTACTTTTATTTCTGTGACCAATGCCATAGACAGATATTCATCACAGTTTTTGGAAACCCTCAAGGACCACTTGCTATAGAAGTAGATCAGACTACAATCAACGAAGGTAATGATGACATGGAAGAGGTAATCCAGGATGACTTGACCGCAGACAGATCCCGTTCATCAAGTTCAGTGTAACAATTCTGATGTGTATAGCACAGCTTTGGTCCATTGCTCTTGGAGGAAGAAAATCTCAGTAGTCGTTTGTTTTTTTATGTCGGTTGTAGTAGTCAATGGATAGATAAGCATAGGTACAAACAGGATGACGGCTGCAAAGAAGAGAAACCACGGTTCAATCAAACTCTGATTCTTATGGGTTTGGTATACAGAATTTGACTCTTAAATAGAAAAAATGAGAAGATGCAAGGTAAAGTTGACATTGTATTTGATAAATAATCCTGGAATGTGGCAGCATAATCTCCAAAGGAAGCAAATGTAGCTGATATTCATGTGAAGCCGGTTCGGCTGCTTAAAGGAGGAGGAGCAGAAAATCAACTGGACTGAAAAAATGTCCTATGTAGCAGTTTTGTATCAGAAAATCAAATGTTTTTGGATTTGAGTGAGTTTCGGAATGTACATGAAACCGATTAGATTGTACTGGTTGAACTTTTGCTCCACATGTGGTCAAGCTTTGCAAATGATATTACTATATCCATGTTTCAATAAATATGCAGTGCATAAACAAAATACAATCTAAAAGGATGTAAAGCAGCCATATCAGACAGTCCTGTTTCTTTGCAATTTGGGTCCTTTTATTTCTTCAACTTGCAGTGGCATATTAAATCCGAGACCATTACCCACAAAGTTCCTTGCGTGTTTTAGCATTGATCCTTGTTCATTACCACCAGCGCCAGTTCCGACAGCACCATTCTCGATGTCTTGATCACCGGCAGTCAGATTCGGGCTACATGAACCATCCTTGGATGGTGGCCTGATGAGCCCCGTGAGGTTGCATGTACCAGAATTGTATGCCAAGATGATTGCCATTGAAGCAAGCAACTGAACGACCCATGGAACAGTTGCGAAGATTGTTCCAGATATAGCAAAGATTTCGACGTAGATGACTTGTTGGGTGTTGGCGGTGGCTAGGCGGAAGAGGACCATCCCGAGTGCGGTCATCCACGCAGAGTGGATTAGGATTGAGCGGAGGTGGAAGCCTTGGGCACTGGACTTTTCGGCCTTCATTTTCATGGTAGAGTTGAGGGTGAGATGGTGACTGCTGAGGGAAAATTGGGATTGATTTGCTTTGCACAATGGTGATAAGTAAATGGAAAATGAGAGGGAAACTTTTGAAAATGTAGTTTGGCTTGGTTAGGAGTCCTATTCAGGCACCAATAGCTCTAAGACCATTTTGTGTTAGATTTCAAATTCAGCATGATCCCTATATAACATCCATTAGAGATGACTTCATGATTATTAATAGAATCAAAACATGACAGCCCCTTTAATTAAATGGTATAAATACTCTAATTTATCAAAACCAATAGCAAACATAGTAGTGTAGTATAAATATATGAAATAACAATTTATTTATTTTTTATTTTCTATAATTGCATAATTTAAAATTAATCTTGTCCCAACAAAAATAAATGAGAGAGAGAAAATTTTGTTTGGCTTTGGTTAACATGTTATGGTGGAATTTTAAAACTTTTGGGAGAATCTCGGCTTGATTAGTGTGTAATATATGGGCCGATATGGGAGAGAAATTTTTGGGTGATGATTTTGAGATATTGGATTCTCGGTTTGATTAGTGTGTAAAATGTTGGCCAATCTGGGAAAAAAAATTTTTGGTGATGATTTTAAGGCATTAGATTGAGTGAATCTCAACTATTCCAGTGCTAAGCTAAATTGAGAGATTTAAAATAGGTCTTGTTTTATTATATAGATTAGCTCAAGTCGAGTTTTATAAAATATTACATATATTCTTAAATCACATAATCTACAGATTTTTATAGTATTATGAAATTGATCACATAAAATGCTTTGAGAATTGAAGAAACCTTTATGAAATTTTATACTATTGATTGAGAATCCTTCTACACAGAACCCCGGATCATTATGATTGACTTTCATCCCGGTTCAACTGGTTGGTCTCACACTTAAGCAAGTTTATATAATTAGACTCGTGAGCAAAATTTTGCTTGAGCCTATATTCACACACTTATATTACTCTTTAGGAGGCAGTCGGTACCGACGGCCTTTGGTCTAATGGCAGGAGTGTCAATTTTTGACTCGAACGCGAACACGAACATGAACCCAACTCAAATCGAACCTGACACGAACCCGAAAAAAATACGATTCGTTGACACGAGTAATTAATGGGTCAAATTAAGGTTCGACACGAATAACACGATTAATGAGTACTGTAGATAAAAAATAATTATTTAATGAGTATTTTAGATAGAAAATAAGAATTTTATAATTTTTTAAATAGTATTATATTAGTTGTTGTCAAATTAAATAATTTTTTATTGACACGAACTCGACACATACTGAAAGTGATACGACACGAAAATAACACGACCGAAAATGACACGACACGAAACTAATACGACACGACACGATTGACACCCCTATTTAATGGTATTTTTTGTCTTGTAAATATTTTACTTTCTTAAAGTTAAGAATTCAAGTCCCCTTCCTCTTTCCCTTCTCCATCCCAAAAAAAAAATATAGGAGGCTCAAGCTCACCGAAGGATCATTACAAGAGGACAATGCAAAAACAATTCGAAAATTTGCAGATTAAAACATTAGCTCAAGTTGAGTTTCATAAAAATATTGTATATTCTCATAATTTGAAGGTTTTTATAGCATTATGATTGGTGCCACCTGCAACCCTTTCTTCAGTCCTAAGATTTCATTGACCAAATGAGTCGATGATTGAATATCAAAATTTTAATATTTTGAGTTGTTTATATTTTTGAATTTTTTTTGTAATGTAATGGAAATAAATTCTCAATTTTAATTTTTTTATTTTTTTAAAAATTAGTTGTTGTAAATGTGAATCATATTCAGTTGTATCGAAGGAGAAAATATTGAGGGGGAGAGATAATGAGATGGGAGTGAAAGTAAGAAATGCACAAAAATAAAATCAAACTCAATGAGGTAATTGGATTCAAGGAAAACGTGAGTTGTTCAAGATGTTTTGTATTTTTTCAGTAATGTTATGAAAATAAATTCTCAAATTTTTTGTTTCCTCCTATCTTGCCTTTTTAAAAATGTTATCAAAAGATTTCTGAAACAAAATTGAAGTAATGTGTCAAAACGAAATTGATTGTGTTCTAACGAGTTTTAGAGCAGCAAAATACAAGTAAAATGAATGACCCTAAACCTTTAGGAGTGGTCCAATGGTTAAGTATGCCCTATTATAAGTAAAAGTCTTCATGTTCAATACTTCTCACACCCTCTCAAGGGTCAACCACCTTTATTCTTTAAGAGACATGTCCTTAAATTGATTCGAATTATAGTAATTTAATTCAAAGCTTTAGAATTAGTTGATGCAAGTTTAGACACCCCGTAATCCAAAAAAAAAAAATGACTATCGCCATTGGATCTAGCTTGTATGCGTATATAATTCACAAGAAGTGCTGCACAAATTAACGATAGAAGAGACAATGCTTGAAGAAATAGTGGTCGATCTCACCAGTTGACCAAACCACACAAGACAATGTTGTTTTTCTCTAGGGTGCAATTTGGGTAGATTAATCCGAATTGAATATGGATAGTGTTTACGTTAAGATTTTAGGTTCACAGTTTAAGCCGACTTACTACTTAGTCAAATTTATTAATTTTTGATTTACCACGAATTATAAACTGATTTTCAACCCGATATAAAACCAAAAAAATGGGGTTGCCATGTGGCTACAATCCCTTCCAATTACTTCGTTCCACTTCCCAGTTCTCTCTCTTTCTCTCTCCTGGTTTGGCACTTTGACTCTAGTTCAGAAGTCCACAAAATTTATTTGTCTATCAGAGTCTCTGTCTCTTTTTAAACTCTCTTTTTTGTGTTGGTTACTTTATCAGTCTATCACTCTCTTCCTTTTTTTTTTTCCTCCCTCTTCTTTATATCTCTAGAGTGTCACGTGTTCGACTATCAATTCTCATTCTCTCCCCCCCCTCCCCCCAAACACACACACGAAACTCCTAATCCCCTCTTTCGTCTTCAATAATCTAACTACTCCAGAGTCAAAATTGATTCGACGACTCTAATTTTATGGTTTATATAAATCTGCGGTTCTATTGAACCCGAGTAGTTAAATCTACCTCGAACACATGAACCCCAAGTTGACCCGAAAATTGAATCCTATTTCAACCCGGGTTCTAAAAATAAAATCTGGTCATTTCTCTGTTTGGGTCAAAACTTGGGTCGAAAGTTTTATAACCAGCCCGAGTTCGCTCTGGAAGACCGTTGGAAGGGGAGTGGGTGCTCTATCGTCTATACAATCACTGCCTTAACAAATTCCCATACTGGTCTAATTTACACGCTCCCCCCAAATCTCTATCTCTCGTCGCTATAAATCACCCATTCGTCACCATCTACTTGAATGTCGGTATCGCAGAGAATACTCTGCGGTTTTACTCTCACAGTCTTTGCTCGTTCCTATTCTTCCTATTCACCTTGTCTCGGTTCCAGAAATTTTTTTCTATTACGCATCCACTCTCCTCCGATCAACCAAGCTCGTTCCATCAGTTTCAACAAGTCAATCTTTGATTCAACCATGTCCTACAACCAGGTACACAGTGAACTAATTTAGTAATCTTTGATCTTTCTTTTGAACTTGTATGTTGTTTTTGATCGAGGAATTATATTATTAAGACAGAAGGAATTATATTATTAAGACAGAAGAGCGGAAAAAGATTCAATGTATAACAATTTGGATGACAGTGTTTCTCAAAGCCTTGAAAAAAAGGAGGAAGAATACAATAAAGATTAGAAACCTGTTGACAATCCGACAAAGACGCCCTTCTAACCTTCCAGCAGCGTCGATATGTATATGCGTAGATATATTTTTTGTTGATGATTATTTTTCTTAATGGAAGAATTTTATTATTAATGCAGAAGAGAGAAAAAAAAGATACCATATGTAACAATTTGGAGGATGATATATCCTCAAAATATTGAAAAAATAAGGAAGATTACAATCCCATTGACAATCTGACAAAGACACCCTCCTAAATTTCCAGCTGCGACTATGCGTATATGCTTAGATACGGACTTTGTTGATTATTTTTTTGTTTTTATATTGTTCTTGATAGAAGTATATTATTAAGACAGGAAAAGATAAAAAAGATACAATATGTAACAATTTGGTGGACAACATAGCCTCAATATTGGGAGAAGCGCGGACTTAATGTTTGATATGATTGCTGTTTCTTATTTGGTGCTGATCTTGTCGGTTTTTAGCTTGTGATCATTTTACAATAACCAAACACATCTTGATATATGAAATGCAACCAACATCTGATCAAATTTTGAGCCTTGCAGTGTTTAGTCCAGTACTGTTGTGAGATGTTTTTGGGTCAACTGTTTTTGCTCAATTTATGGATCTTTAGGGTCAGTCTTCAGTAAGGCTTAAGTTGTTCTGTCCCGTAATGATTGATAACTTTTTCAGTTCTTTTTCATTCTATTTGAGGTTTATTTGGTTGCCTTTGCAAACTGTTCTTCACTCTTCAGCCTATTCAACTTTTATTTTTAGAGCAATTACAAATTTAACACTCCTCTTTGTTTATGGCCAATTTTCATCCTTCCCCTCCCCCCCAAAAAAAGAAGACTAAAGACAAAGTTTCCGATCATTTTATTCCTACATGTTAAATTATTAGATATGGTATCCAGTTTTTTGGGTTGTCAACGAGTTTGTTGATTATTAGCTGCATCATTGGGTTGCCATTGACATCAATGATTTTGAATGTTTGTTCTTGGGAAAAAATAATAAGTACTTTATGCTGCACTGTATTAGGGGATTGGGTGTTATTTTTCTATTAGTTTTCCTAATTTATCTGTGATATATGTGGTGTCTTCTGTACCCTTATTTGATGATAATTCATTTTGCCTTTTTCATTATTCTGATTGATACTTTTATGCAATCGTTTAGATGAATATATTAGATGCCTATATGGAAATTGGAAGTTCCCTTGTTTTTTCTTGTTTGCATTGGAGACTATATTTATTTGACACTACAATTTGAGTATCTGTGCTTAAGTTATCAAATATCTTGTGCTTAAGAAGTTAAGATGTTAATGATGCCGGTCATGGGAGTTGGGTAATTGTTTGTTTCATGCTATGATATGCAGCGAATGGGTAAAATTCAAGAACAAAGGTGGAAGGAGAAGCCATCTTCCAGTCAACCCTTTCCATCTATGGAGGGTGTGACGACATCAGCTGCTGGAGATCTCACCAACAGACTAAGTAAATTGAGCGTTGTTGAAAGCAGTGGGCAATCCCATCTTTCAGTCCCACCTATGCAGTTTGGAAATATTGGACTGGGAAACCACAAGGCTGTGCAAGGTCAGAAAGCCATCGGGAAACCCAACTCATACATCACAATAAGTGGAGCCGCAACGGTAGGAGTTGATAAAGCATCCGTTGATCAAATGGCCGTCAATATTCAGGGAAATCGAGCTCAAAAAGCATCACCTGAGAAAGCCAGCACTGCTTTGAGCAAGTTGTTTGGGGGTAATTTATTGGATAATTTCACTGTGGACAACTCTACCTACTCACTTGGCCATATAAGAGCTACCTTTTATCCCAAATTTGAAAATGAAAAATCTGACCAAGAGGTAATACTCCCAGTTATGTGGTCCAAGTGAGTTTTCTTGTTACTTGTGAGTGTTGTACTTACATTTTGGACTCTGAAATTGTTTGCTATGGTCTTTGTTCCTGGAAAACAACTTAAATGGTGAAGTAGGTAACTCATATGCCATGTACCTTAGTTTATCTCTTAACTACTTTATTTGGTGTTGAACCCCCCCCCCAACCCACCCAAAAAAAATAAACTGCAAAACCCCTCCAAACCAAAAGCCAAGAAAAATGGTGAAAAAAGAGTTAATTAATTGCTTCTGCTGTTTCAAGCTAAGTTACTGATTCTTGTATGCTTGTCATGACAAGTTGTTTTTCTGTTGTAATGTGAATTCAAAGGTAGGTCAGTAATGGATATCTGTATTATTGAAACATGCATTCATAATGCTATGGACTCCATTGCTTGGTGAATATATTGGATTTTGCTTCAATTTTGGGATTGTTACTTTTTTGGGTGTGCTTGAAATTGTTCTTTTACTGACCACTTTATCTACACTAAAACCTTTTATACAAGATTTAATAGGGGAATCAGCTTTTATTCGAGAAAAGACACGGCCATCCCTAAAATTGCTTGCAAGTGATTGTGGTTAACTTTGCTTATTCAGTTGCTAAATGTGCCATTGTGTTGGTAATATATTTTTCATAAAAATCGAGAAAAAATACTATTCAATATCTTCTCTGTCTTCTTTTCCCTTCGGACATATGCACAGGTGCTTGAAACATGGCTGACCCTACTCAAGGCAAAAGTGCTTGAAGAGAAAGCTACCCAAAGAAGTAGTAGTGTACGCAAGTCACAAGGTGTAAGCCATATGTAGTTGACTTTGCCTCCTTGGTACTCCTCCCTTAAATAACCAAAATTCTATTATAACCACCGCCGCCTCACAGACAGAAACACTCATCATTGATCGCCATCATCTCTTTCACTCTCTATTTGCTTCATCTTTCAATCCACTTCATTCTAATGTCTTCGCCTTTTCCCCATGAATTGTGTGGCGCTATCTCCACCATTGGAAACAAGCCATCAAGAAACCTGTCACCTACATCACCAGTGCACAAACGATCTTTAGAATTCAGTGCTTTGAATCCATCCAATAATTCGCTCACACCAATCCATTAAAACCCGCACTACAAACCTATACGACAACTCTCATCTCTTTCTCTTGAAACAACAAACTAGCAACCATGATTATGGTAGGGAGAATATGAAAGGCATGAGTGGTGTGGAGAACCTACATGATGGCCTTTGTTGAGCAAGTCATGATGACAGAGCCAGCATATGTGAGGCCAATGCAGAAGCTTATTGATATATAGGAGGAAGAATATTGAAATATTAGTGAGAAGAAACAAAAACCTTATTGATCTTTTTGTTGCATGGTAAATTGTTATAAAGAACTCTTGGAGTGTACTTGGTTTTGTTGTTGGGGCAATTAGGGTATTTTATGGTGGAGGTGAAAGTGTATTGTGTGTGTGTGTGTTTAGCTGGGTTGATGGCGCTGATGGATGGTGCTGGTGTTCGATGGTTTTAAAGAGTGGTTCCGATGCTGGTGAGGTGACAGGTGAAATGAGGGGTGGTGATGAAGTTTCTACATTATTTTTAATGTGGATTTCTTTTTTTTTTTGAGTTGATGCAGTGACTCATGCTTAAGAGCTAGTCAGCACTCATTGACTTATGGCTTACTTAGTTGACTGGAATTAATAAGTGTATTGGCTAACTAGAAGTGCTTCTCATCCTTCATTGATAATGTGGAACAAAAGCTTCAGATCAGTAAATGGGGGCAAAAATTGGGATTTGTAGCTTATCGTCTGCTAATGAGAAATCCTTGTAACTACTAGTGTTTTCTGCTATCGTCTCCCAGAAAAAGGTGTGCTGTTGCCATAATTTAGTGGGTACCAGTGTAAATATACCTTTTATTTTAATATCTATTCAGCTTATACATTGCTAAATGCGACTGATAGAAGCTTCTCATAGTTGTGGACCCTTCCGATTTTAGGTATATGACCTACTAAAGGTTTATCCTAAAAAGTTGTGTCTATGATTTATATGGGTAAGCTGTCAAATCATCTCTTATGATCTCGGGAAGCCATTCGAATTATGTTTATGTGGCATTATTGAAAACTTAACCATAAAACGTTAATGCATCATTGGTCTTTATGAGTATGTATACTATGAATCATTAAATCAAAATTCTTATCAGCTGTCTATTTAAAGCAAGATGTTTTTCGTGGTTGGTTATTGGATAATTGCATTTGTTTGTTTCAGATTAGGACAAGGATGATAGAGATGGTATCCAAAGGCCTCGCTACATTGGAGGTAGGTCATGCTTAAATTTTAGCCTCAGTTTGTACTTCTAATCAAGGTGATTACTTCCCATGTATTTCTTCGATTGAACGCTCCTTGTGGAAATGACATCCCCACAGGTCTCGCTGAAACACTCTGGATCTCTTTTCATGTATGCTGGTCAAGAGGGTGGAGCGTATGCCAAAAACAGTTACGGAAATATGTATGTTCATTATTCATGATCCTTTGCTTTTATTTGCTTTGCTTTCCACCTTATAATTTTGCTTTCACTTTCATGTATAGCTATCTATTTCCACTTGCAATTTAGTTGCTCGGCTCACTCAATTTACCTTCTTATAATGGGAATTCATATAGATTTCATATTTTGCAAACCTACTCCTCCATACCAATGTGGTTTACAGTTTCCAGTAATGACAAAGGATGACATTCTTGGGAGAGATAGTGAGTAGCAAATGGGCATGACTGCTTATTTCTAACTTTAACTGCCTCTTACGTGTGCTTTGGAATTGGACGGTGTTGATACGATTGGTTTATTTATCCCAACAGATCCAATGATAAGGTTTACAATATGGATAATGTCCCTCAGTGGACAGCTCAGAAATTATTGAATATGCTTCATATAACACAATGCAAAGAATATTGGTTAAACTCATGTGATCACTGTATTTACTTGTTCAATTGATCTGTAATGAATAAATTCTTGAGAGGAGCTATCATTCTCATTTGAGATGTTTCGAAGTCAATAATCACCGTTATTAGGAGCAGATTTTACATGGAAATGGAATTCAGTTACTTCAAATAAGCAGCTAAAATTTGTGCAAATTATCTGTCTAGCGTGAAACTAAAATGGTCAATTGATAAATGATCTTGGCGGACATGACCTGATAATCATGAGATTATAGGTTCAAGATTGAGGACAACCACTTGAGTGAATAATGCCAAATGTTATTTCTGTAGTGGCAGATCCCTCACATCACCCTTACTAAATGAGGACTAAATTAAGAAGTGATTTGAAGGGAATAGTATGCTAAACAAGGTTTCTTCAAGAAGTTTGATGCTCCTTCAACCTTGAGGCTCTAGAGCAATCAAAAAGATGAGCTATGAACTGCCCATGGTCCTTGGTTTTATCTTTATGTTGATTTATTGTTGTTTTGTAGCTTGTTTAATTTTATGCTTCAATTGTAGTTACACTGCCGTTGGTGTTTTTGTCCTCGGACGGATGTTTCATGAGGCATGGGGCACTAAAGCCAGCAAAAAGCAGGCAGAGTTCAATGACTTTCTTGAGGTATTTTTCCATGAGAAAAATTCTTCGAAATGGAAAATGCAATGATATCCTAAACTACTTTTTTTAATATTTGTACTGAGTATATCTTTAAATTTGTATATCTCCCACAGAAGATCTTGATTTGATGCAAGAACTTTCAGAATTGACTAATGGAGGGTTGAGTTTGTTGTATAATAGTTTAGGCCCTTTAGGGTTGACTAGGATCTCTTGGAAGAAGGCTTTGGTATATCGATAAGACTATCTGTTAACAAGGTTCATCTGGTTTTAAACCACATAATAATGTTCAAGCATAGAGAAATTACATCGAAAGTAAAAGAAAGAAACAAAGCTTTCCAAAAATAAAAGAAGAAGAAAAAGTGCGAGATGGCTTATAGGCAGCATTGGTGCATGTCTAACTAGGCAGAATAGCTTCAATGGTAAGGCTAATCCGTCATAAACTCAATAAGTTAGTTCTCCATTGAATCAATCAAGTAGGTGAACAAATAATTACTGCATCTGAATATGGAAAGAACTGGTATGATGTTATTTACTGAGGATTTTTAGGTCTAGATGAAGAAATTCCTAAAGAAGGCAAAATCTGCATATTTTTTTCCTTGCTAAGTCAGGTAAAGTCTTGTATTTTTTTATATAATGTTTGGCTTCAGGTACCTGTATTTCTATTGCTTGGGAATGACTGAATGTTTGTTTCAACATATTCATAGTGGTGAATAGAGGATGGAGGCTTGGATTTTTTTTTCCCGCGGGGGGGGGGGGGGGGGGTTCTTTTGCACTTGATTGCAGTGCCCCATCTTGATCAAGAACTAGGCTTGGATAGTCTATTTTTGCACTTCTTTGACTATATAAGATGACAGGGTACTAAGCCATGTGAACTGCATCACAATGTCCCCATTTGTCGAAAGCTGCCCACAGTGCAATTTTAAAAATTTTGGGGATGTAGAATCACAGAAGTTTTTAGAAATGGCCCCCCATTGAAAATATGTTAAAAGAGTTGGGATAGTTATGTGTTTTTATAAGATGTCTCCATCTTTCATAAAAGATCTCAGACAACACCTTTACTCTTCTGGTAGCTCCAGTTTTTGATGTTTCATCATGTAATTCTACTTTCTCTTTTGTCATATTCATTACCTCAAATCAATCTTCAATTGGATTTCCTCTTTAGTATATCTTCTCACTTCTTTCCTTCCAGTCTTTCTTCTTTCCATTTTCAACTTTGATTGGCAGTTATCCAGTCGATTAAGTGCACAACTTCAAAGGAAATGGGAGAATAAAAGTTTTTATCAAATCTGGCCTGCCAGCGATAACCCAAGAATTATTTCTTCAATTTTGATAGCTTTTTGAATTTGTTGATTATTTTGTGTGGTAATTAGTTTTTTATTACTCTTACTCATTTAATTTTTTGTTAATAATAGACAGCATAACTTTGATTATTTGAATTTGATTGAGCGATGGTTTGATTGGTTGTTTATCCATCTATTTGAAAATGAGAGGGTGAGGATGTCATAAATTGGTTTGATTTTTGAAGTGGGTGTATTCAAATGGTGTCATTGTTATCTGTTGGCAACTTACTGATAAGGTTGAAGCCTTATGCTAACACAATCTGGGATCAGACAGTCTTCTTTGTTGTGTTTTTTTATATATTGAATTGAAACTAGGGCTTATTGCTTAAATTTTGTAATATTTAATTGGATTATGATTTGGAATTACCGGTTATGGAATACATGTTGGAGTAAATTTGGACTTGAATAATGTGATTATGATAGATCAACTTGTTTCTATATCAAAATTTGGATTAATAGGCTTGTTTAGATTTAAATTTTCTAAATTTTTTTTGTTAAATTTATTAATTTATTTATATTAGATTTAATACATAGCTCAATTCGAAATGTATGGTAGGTTGCCCCCCACTGCGGGAGAAGTCTGGCTCTGCCCCTGAAAAGCTTCAATATCCAAAATTACTGTTTTTAATCCCCACCTAAAAGAGATTATTACAATCTTTTTATAGAATCACCTTTATATCAGTTTCTCACAGCACTAGTGTGAATTGTAACTCACTTATCCTAAACTTCTCGAGTAATGCTTTCAAGTAACAATGTGCTACTCCAGCTCTAAATTAGACTGATCATAAATGTCCATGGTAATATATAATTGGAGTGTGTATTTGTCGCTTTAAATGCATTGTAGCATTATTACCTTTTTGGTGGGTGAATCTTCAGTTCCAATGGCACTTGTTTATGTGAGAATATGATCTTCCGATGTTTGTTTTCTTAATCATTAACATGCCAGGTTAACCTCGTGTTTCGATGTTTGTTTGCTTGATGTTATAGGCATCATTATTATGCTATGGTTTTTTTTTTTCTATTGGTCTTGAAAAGCTATATGATTGTTGGACTCTTTCAGCGGACCCGTATGTGCATATCAATGGAACTGGTGACTGCTGTTTTGGGAGACCATGGACAACGTCCCCGAGAAGATTATGGTAAGAGGGAAAAGGGAAACTGGAAAATTTGTTATGTTATATCACTACCTAATGTTCTGCTATGGTTCGGCAACTTAGGTAGACATGTTTTGATCTATCTTTCTGTACATTAGGTAGACATGTTTTGCTGCAACAATGTTTATGCATGAGTTCTCTTGCAGGGGGCATGTTGCAAAACTACCTCATTAACAGTAGGCATTTTCTTGTTTTGTCTGTTGCATGGGGCTTGTTACAGCACTACGTCATTAACAGTGTTACTTTTTCTTCTTTTTTTTTTTTGCTGTAATTTTCATGCATGTATGTTCTTTAGTTGAAGTGCTGTTGAAATATCTTCTTTTGGAATTTTTTGGAATGATTTCCAATTTTGGACTGGTTCTATATCCATGGTCAATGGGCATTTATAGTTTCTACTGATTGCCTTATGTTTTACATTTTTCCATCCTAGAATAATATAAGTTACGTTTTCCTGAGCAGAGGAATAATTAATTTCCTTTGTTTGAGTCTCTGAGAAGCCTTCTATTATTGTTTTTTGGGGCATATGCCGCATATCGAAGAATGTAGTGTTGTTTATGTAAGCTGGAGACTTATTAACATTTCATACCATCTAACATCATACCCTGATGCATCTATTCCACTTAATTCTTATTGAATTTATTAACTCCATTCTTGTGACAAACTTAGGTCATATTTGTCTATGTAATGTACAATATTATGCAATGATTTTGTGCCCTTATACTTTTATCCTGACTTGTTCGAGCAGTGGTAGTGACCGCAGTCACAGAATTGGGCTATGGAAAACCAAAGTTCTACTCGACACCAGACGTAATTGCATTTTGTAGGAAATGGCGGCTACCAACAAACCATGTGTGGTTGTTGTCGACAAGGTGATAACATATGGGATATTTAGTTGAACAGAGCATTATGTATTATTAAATGGTGCTCTATATCGGGTAGTTGGTTCTTAAGTTAGATTGATATGGAGATGGGGCAATTTAAGCTTGCATCAGATTTTCTATTTATTTTTTGTCAACTTTTGCCTTCTGGAATTCAGGCGTGAATGTATTTTCATGCGCTTTATTCTTACAGTAATATGTAAGGTTTTCCACTTGATCCTCCATATGATTGCGAATTGCCGTGGGACCTACCACTTCAAAATGAAGCAGGTGAATGCCAAAGTTGGTAACCAAGATGTGTAATAAATTTGTTTCTGTCCTCCACACCCACCAACCAAAAAAAAAAAAAAGACCCCACCAAAGAACAATAAAATAGTTTCATGGAGTGCATGTTGGGAGGGCCATACATCTGCAATATACTTCTCTCGTCTTTCTTTAAAGATTCCTTATACTTTTCTGGTTATTCAATATACTTCTCTTGTCTGTCTTTGAGGATTTTAAATAAAGCTCTTTGATGCATGTGTGTCGTTCATATAGATGTTCAGTTTCTTGCTGTCATTTGAATTTTTCATGAAATGCTTTAGTATTGAGCACTCTTAGTGTTGTTCTAAATGGGAAAAAACTTGGACATAAAGATTCTATTTTTTGATTTCTGACAAATGTTGAATTCTATTACAAGGAAATCAGTGACATCATTTTTTGCTGCCTATGATGCACTCTGCGAGGAAGGAACAGCAACATCTGTTTGTAAGGCTCTTGATGAAGTTGCAGATATATCTATACCAGGTAGGCTTTATTTAAGTGAAAGGCTCTTTGATTTTTTTAGCTGCATTGTTCTATTTGAGCCTGTTTGGTAGCACTTTCCTAAATATTTTTTAGTTAACTTTGTGGAAAGAACGGTAGTCAACATCTCACATTGTCTCAAGAAAGAATGTGTACCACCCACACCACAAGCAGTACACAACACCATCATCCTCTCTTCCCTGAGCTCTGCAATTTTCTCTAGTGCTTTCACTTCTGCTCCATATCACCGTCACCACGTCTGCTACCAACTCTACCAAAACATCTTATGGTACACTCCTCCAATAAACTTCAATTTTGTATCATGTTCATGACTCATGACACGCTACTGTAGACACCAATTCATACAATATCTACAATTGCAGCTTCGCCTTTTATCAGGTGATACTCATGCTCTAGTTTGCCCTCATGTTCTTAAACAAGAATTCGTAACTATGCGGTTAACCTGTTGCAATGGCAACTGTGTTATGATGGGTTCCTTTCTTCTTGAGGCCGAACTAGGGGTTTCACAGACCTCTGTAGTTAAAATTGAAGACAAACATTAATTTAGTTGCTTTTGCATGCTCATATAGTATCCTATTTTTTCATTAATCTCACATTGTGCTTTCGCAGGCCCCTTTAGGATCAACTTTTTTAGGTTTGTTTTTGCTACTTCGTGTTACCAAGCATTATTTCCTCTTGTCTCATTAACTGCTTGATTCCCAGACTCTTTTAAAAGTGAAACTGGAAACAAGAAACAGGAAATTAAACTGCAGTCAAATAGGTCTGTGCTTTGCATTTTGGTATTGCTTGATATATATATTAATATCTATGTGTGCTTAACAATATGTCAATCTCCACACATTTTTAGGCCTGGGAGGTCATATCTCTGCTTAGATACAAGTTTATAGTGCTTTTTTGTTTATGCTCAACTTTCACGGTTATTACTTTGTTCCTTAGTTGACATTGTTTTTCTTTCGGGGGAGTTTTTTGAGAGTTCATTTTGTATGCCAAAGTGACTTGAGTTAATATGCAGGATCTAAAGACCATATAAAGGCGCAGGGTGAAATCTTGGAGGGTCTTGTGGCTCGCATTGTAAGTCATGAGAGCTCAAAACACATGGAGCAGGTTTTGATGGATTTTCCTCCGCCTCCATTAGAGGGTGGTATGGTGATTTTATCCTTGAATGTCTCCTTTGTCTCAAGCCTGGGTTACATTAAAGTAGAATTCCTCTTGAAATTCCATCTGCATATTATTCTTGCTTTGAAGTTGTGGGAAAAGGTCTTGCTAAGTAAGTTATATATATCATTTTCCTTCAAAATCTTATGCATGGATTTCAGATTCACATGGTATTTGTCCCTCGGTAAATATATCCTTAAGAAAATAATTAGAATTAGTGAATTTTGGATTTCGTGCTTGAGTTTTATCTTTTACATTGACTATTTCGTGCATTGTAGATTGGGTTGAACTCCTGGGTACTATTTATAACCTCATTAGCCAGATGAGATGTGAGGGAGAGATAGGGGAGCGGCACTTGGGAACGAAAAGTAGTTCAGGGGGTTGTGCTGTGGTACCAGAGTTCAGTGTTGCATGCAGTCACGCACTGTAATATATTGATCAGTTGTAGTGGGTTCCCTTTTTGAAGGGATAAAGCAAGCTAAATGAAGAATGTTAAAGAAGATAGGAATCATTTTATATAAAATGTTGATTTCCTTTCTCATATGTGTTTGATTTTTTGTCTCAACTTCCTTCATTTGTAAGTTATGATTATTTGTTGGGTTCTTATTGGTATCCAGGGAACTGTATTCCTTGTCCAACACGGAAGTTTGAGCGTAAGACAGTACAAGTAGATATATATAGGTCATCGGTTGAGGCTTATGTGAGGATGGCATTGTTATGAGGTTTTGTTAAGATTGTCTTGGTCAGATGAGTGAGGGAAAGTGAGAAAGAGACAAGGAAACTGGTAACAGCTCACTGGTCTCTTGGTACCATGTCTCAGTGTTGTTGTACTCTACCTATTTGTTATTCTCTCACAAGTTGTAATGGAATTTACTCTTAGCCATGGACATAAGGAAGGTTTTCTTGAACTGCATTAATATTGGTTTTCATAGCTAGAAGTAGATGAAATTATCCATTCTCTCTTTTCTGTCCCTCCATCCGTCATTTCAAACTTTTGACCGGAGCCTAAATAATTTATCGAGTGCAGTTCTATGTTGCTTTTGTTGAGATAAAAGAGTTTGTGAGTTGAGTTGAGCTCCATATTTCTGTTTACATTTCCTTTTTCTTTACCTGTCAAAATGATGTACTTTTGTTTATAGATTTTTAATAATTGACCTTATTTATTTTTTTTTCATCAAAGTTGAGTCTGCTTTTTCATCGTTTACAATATAATCTTGCATTGCGTGTCAGCAGACCTAGATTTGGGACCTAGCCTCCGGGAAATATGTGCTGCAAATAGGTCGGATGAAAAGCAGGTATCATTGCATTCCCTTTTAACATTTAGGCGATGTTATAAACAGGAAATTTTGAAGTCAATATTTTGCTCAAAGTAGATATTGGGGTAGACACACTTGCACATCTTTTATATTGGTCTCACCACAACGCTGCAGCAAATAAAGGCACTTCTTCAAAGTGTTGGCACCTCTTTTTGCCCTGATTATACGGACTGGTTTGCGAAAGAAGGCATTGATGTACATTCAAGAAATGCCGATCGATCTGTTCTTTCAAAGTTTTTACAAACGCATCCTGCTGATTTTTCCACCACTAAATTGCAGGTCTGTCTATACTTGTCTTCACATATGTCTTAGATAATAAATTATTGACTCTCTTGGTAATTAAATTACTGAATTTAGAACTTAACGGTCCATTGATGACCTTGGCTAATTGTGTTTTTGGTGGTATATCTCATTTGGTTATTTTTTAGTTAATGCTTTGTACATCCAATTTTTCCTTTCCTTACTCATGGTCCTTATTGCCCGATCACTATCTCTATAAGAATACACTTTCCTCGTTTGGCCAGTTGATGCTGTTATTTTATGTTAACAGAGCAGTTTTATTGAGCATATCTTATCCTATATTAGGATGGAGATCGGCAGTTGATGCTGTTATTTTATGTTAACAGAGCAGTTTTATTGAGCATATCTTATCCTATATTAGGATGGAGATCAGCAGTTGATGCTGCTGTTTTCTGTTATCATCAGATATTGGGATGGAGATTGCTTCAAGATTGGCCCATTTTGCATTTTATGGCCTTCTGTCTTGCGGTTTCTCCTGTTAAACTGTTTTCTATTACCAAAATAGCCTATGTTGATAGAGGATTTCTCTTTTAACTTCATTTGTACTTTCTTTTTCACTTGAGCCAGGAAATGGTGCGTTTGATGAGAGAAAAGCGATATCCTGCTGCTTTCAAGTGTTACTACAATTTTCACAAAATCGACTCTGTATCTAGTGATAACCTTCATTTCAGAATGGTGATCCATGTTCACAGTGATTCAGCCTTTCGGAGATACCAGAAAGAGATGAGGTCTTGTTTAAATTTGAAATTAGTGATTTGTGTTTTCTTTCTTCTGGGTTAAAAAAATATGTTGGATTATGCCCTGCTTTCCTATATTACAAGTGTCTTAATCTTAATCATTTTTTTAAATTAAGAAAGGCTTGACGTTTCTCAGGTATAAGCCAGGATTGTGGCCACTATATCGAGGTAAATGTCTTTCCTGTCAGTTTTTTAAAAAGTAGCTTTCTGAGTCGTATAGCAGTGTTAATTATAGTGGAAGATTTATAAATGACGTTATTTTAATGGTGAGCAGCATGGTTTATGTAATTTAACTTTGTTATATCTCCATTCTAGTGTATTTTGTGGAAAATCTTACCTGGCAGTATGCTGGCAGGAGTATAATTATTTATCATTAAATGGGGAGAAATTGTAAGATTTTTCCAGATGAGTTATGCCTAATTGAGTGCTCAGAAAGATATATATCTTAACCTCTAACCAGCTGGATGAAATGTTTTGAATGTTTCTTGAAGAAATGCCCACCACTATATTCTTCTTCTATCCCATATTTGTAACCCTGAATGCTTATTGCTATGAATAAAAATAACATTCAGATTTCTTAAGCACTATTAAAATGGCTAAAAAGTGAGTGTACTTGACTGCTCCCATTCTTCTTACAGGCGTTCAACAAAGAGAATACGGTGTATGTGTTATTCACAAGTGAGGGAAACATTGTAATAGATATACATATATCACAGAAACTTTCTGTATATGGTAGTTCATTATGAGAATGATGTCCTAATATCTACTTGTAAAACTTTGGTGAATGAGTATATATATATCCATCTATTCAAATATCCAGCACAATATCTGTGATCACATTCTGTAAGTAGGTTTTTGGTCTATCATCTGCTGCTTTTTCTTCCATTCCACAGGTTTCTTTGTTGACTTAAATTTATTCAAGGCAAATAGTGAAAGAGCCAAAGATATTGCAAAAACCAACAATAATTTAGTAAAAGATGTCAACGATAGCAATGGTACATCAGGAAAAGAGGGTTTAGCTGATGAAGATGCTAATTTGATGATCAAGTTGAAATTTCTTACGTATAAGGTATGTGTGCTCGTCCAAATAGTGAACTCTCTTATTATTATTATTATTATCAGTTGGTGTATCCAAGTTTCTTGAGAGTGCATTCATTTTTCCATCGGTGCTCTTTTACTTTTTTGTTGTGATGTTACTCTGTGTTTCACTTGATGCATTCTTTTGTCTGCCTTGTACATGTTATTTTTCAATTTTCCAGCATTCAGCATAATGATGGTATACATGGCCTTATTTTTCTTATTATATTAATAAAATTACTGTTTTGCATTGGAAAAAGGAAGTGTACATGGTGCCATAAAATGTCTTGAATTTTTTTTTTTTAAAAAAGGAATTCACAAATTCTGCAAAAATCTGAAAACACTTTTACCAACCAAGCCTATGCTCATCCTAATCAAAATGTCTTCTATAGTGATGCCCTTCTGTCTGGATGATTGGACTCAAGTGATCTAGATCATCATCAAGAAATGCATCTTTTTTCAATCGTTTCCTCAAAAATCAATTTCAATTTTACCTACGTTCATTGTTGGGTCGTAGTTCTTTCCTAAGAACTTTAGGTATAGGGCAATTCTCTATAGTTAGAATCAAAGGTATTCTTATTTCGACAGCCATATTTAGCTTTGTTTTTTGGTTGATGTTTATTAATAATAGTGTTATTGTTTCTGGCACAAAAAGAAACTCATGGTAATCTTATCATATATTAAAGGTATCAATGAACAAAATATAACTACAAAGTCAAGACCAATTCAAATGAGTCATGAAGTAATAGAAATTTGTTAAAAAAAACAAAAAATTCAGATTTACTAAGTAACAATATAATCAGAAAGAGTAAATTCCCTTGGTCCTGTCCTACTTTCTATGTCATCAAGAATGCAAAAATAGAAAGAGGAGTTCCTAGACTAGTAATCTATGAAGCACGGATACTTTGTTGAGGTTAACGTATCCGTATCGAATACCGTATTGGATACGATGCTCGTTGGATACTCAAGGATATGTATCAGATATACCTTCTATGTATTCGATTATAATTAAATATTATGATACTTCATGGATACTTTTGTGATCGACCAACATATATAATTTTTGGGTTGAACTTTTAACATATGTTTTCGAATTTACATACCATACAATACATTAACAAAAAATTCACATTATTTCAGAGGCACATGAATGTTTCTTAAATATTATCTACAATTACATGTCAAAAGAGCATAAAATATTAACTTTGATTTCTTTAATTAGTCACTTTACTTTGTGAATATACTACAACGATACGATATATGTTTTTTGAAACTAAAAAAAATTACTAATTTTTCTTATTGTATGTTAAAGAAGAAATAAAATATATTAGTATTAAGCTGGTTGAAAATAATAAAAATATTGTTATAGTCGTATCTTGGTTGTATCTGTATCTTACTTTTTTAGATTTTGTCATATTGCCCTATCCGTATCGTATCATACCCGTATCGGCGTATCCCATATCCATATCTGTACTTTATAGCTAGTAATCAATTATAAATCTTTGAATGCAGTTTTGGAATGAATTAGGTATCTAATCCCCAACAAGCAAGACTTGATAAAAGGTTAAGTAAAACAATAATTTTTTTAAAGTTTGATTTGAAAAGTGGATTTTGTCAAATCCAAATAAGTCTAGAAGACAGGTACACACCCTTTGGTCATTATGAATGAAACATAATGCCTTTTGGATTAAATATTGCACTAAGCGAATTCCGAAATATAATGAATGAAATATTCAACCCAGTAAGTCATTTCTCTATAGTCTACATAGATAATGTCCTCATCTTTTCAATATCAATAGATGAGCATTGGAACATCTCATAGCCTTCTTGGAGAAAGTTAAACACAATGGTCTAGTCATCTCTGCCAGTAAAATCAAGTTATTCCAAACTTCAGTCAGATTTTTTGGATATAACATCCAATAGTCAACCATTGTTCCTATTAGCAGATCTATCCAGTTTGCTGTAAGTTCCCCGTTGAAATCAAAGATAAAAACCAGTTCCAAAGGTTTTTAGAGTCGTTGAAATATGTTTCAGACTTCTATAAAGATCTCAGAAAAACAGTGAAGTCATTGTATGAGAGATTAGGAGATAATCCTCCTCCTTGGTTATCAGTTCATCAGTTCGTACTTCTATCATCAAACAAGTCAAACAATATATCAAGACCTTGTTTTGTCTTGGTATTCCCTCAGTTAATTCTTTCAAAATTATTCGGATTGATGCCTCAGATATTGACCACGGTAACATCCTTCTTCAAAAATTTAATCCATATTTTCCAGAGCAAATTATTCGTTTCCACTCTGGAATTTAGAATAATGCACAAAGTAACTACAGTACAATTAAAAAAGAAATTGTATCTATTGTCCTGTGTACCTCAAAATTCTAGGATGATATATTAAATCAAAAATTTCTAGTTAGATTAGATTGTAAAAGTGCAAAACATGTTTTGAAACAAGTTACAAGATGTACAAAATATTGCTATTAAGCAGAATTTTACCACATGACAATCTGTTTTTGAGTATTTTCGATTCTGATATCGAATATATTAAAGGTAGTAGTAATTCAATTCTAGATTTCCTTACCCGTGAATTTTTGCAAAATTCTCATGGTGGATAAAAAATCTAGTAAACCCTTTACCTCTAGCAAAAAAAACCTGTAAAGAGTATGGTAGACAGCTTGCTCAGCCAGATCTAAGTCCAAAATCCAGTCACCAGTCACCCCAGGACCTAGTAAACTATTACCATATCCTTGGTAACATAGTCAGATCATCCTTTCAGTCTACCTTGGTAAACCCAAACACCAGTAAACAGGCCTTAACAAGCCCGTATCCAGTCCAACCTATATCCTCGGTTAGGCCATCCCAATTAACAAACCAATATCCAGTAAGACCAACACAGTCAACCCAAACCTGTAAGACTGACGACATCTCAAAAACCAAACAGAACTACAAGAAACCTTTCTTTATCTTTATGGATAACCAATTTATTTTCAAATTTAGTTGGGAGACTTTACCCAAAAAATGGGTCAAAAAAATGGAAAGATCGGAACATGGGAATATATCTGATACCAATACGGACTACCTATTTCAATTGTTGTACTTTTTGAAATTGCATACCTATACAAGGGTTCAAGTTTCGATCGATATTTGCGGAGTTGATCATCCCTCTTGAAAACGAAGATTTGAAGTGGTCTATAATTTACTGAGTACTCGGTATAACTCACGTATTCATGTACAAACCAGTGTTTTGTACACATTCTGTCAATCTGTTCATTATTGAACCGGTCCATGCCCATTTAACCAATCCAGTTGACCTAGTCAATACATATCTTGAACCTAGATAGAATTTCATTCCATTGGATCCTTAGAAAACCTTCCAGGAATGATGACAGTAAATCAGTGTACCATTCTTTGTACATTCTCAAGTTAATTCTAGTCAAAGAATGAGGATCTCACCCTTCCTTGCTCAGAGATCTCCCTGGTCAACTAAGTAATTTAGCTACTATGACTACATTGATTCATTGTTTAATTGCTGCTCTATCAAGAAGAGTCATATACTCATTCCTAGTTCCTTCAATTCATTAAGGATTTCAAAAGGCAAATCCCTTCTTGGTTCTTGCGTTGGTGGCAAATGCATGACCTCATTCCTAAAATCCTCCCGGTTGATCTTTAAGATCAAGTTAATTACTTCTCATCTATTTTTAAGATTAGTCAACACAATTCACAGTTTCCTGCATTGCTCCTCTTCATGAGTAAATACAAGGTTCCGTTATTCTTAAATGGCAGTATTCCATTATTGCTAACACAGTTACCCGTCATTTTTACGTCAAATGGTGGGCTAAGTTCGACCACCAACGTATTATTGAACAAGTTAAAACAGAGTTCTCGGTAAAGATTCCTACTCCAGTTACAGTTACAGGTACAACTACCAGTACACCACCACCAGTGGTACAATCAACAGCTCCAGCACTCAGAGTCTCTACTCCAGGTGTTTCAGCACTCCCAATAAAACAATCCAAGGCTTCATCCAAGACTTCCAGTAAGTTCCAGCCAAGAAAATTCCAGTTAATTGGGTTAGCCCAATAGATACTCCCGCAAGCTGGTCAGGAAGAAGATGATGGTTCATCAGAAGTCTTAGTCAGCCAGCCACAAGACCCGTTTCAAGATGCCCAGGACCTGGATGATGCATATGATCTATCCAGCCCGTAGAACATCCACAGTCAGGTTCCCATAAAATTACACGTGTACAAAGACTTCAATCACTACTTTCCCAAAAGGAAAGAAATGCTGTCCCTTTGGTATGTATGTCAGACAGAGTAAACCCCATTTCCCACTGAAAGAAGAATAGCAGTCAATCAATCAACAACAGTTAAAGTAGCTAGTCAGCAACAGTTAAGAGGGCAATCATTCCCGAGATTCCTTGCCAACAGCTTGCGATATTCTAAGCATGCTACTCTACCGAAAGGTGATGGTAACATTTCATCGGAGTATAAGTAATTTAACCCAAGTAAAAACAACCATCAGTCAAAAGGGCAATCATTTCTGAGATTCCTCTGCCAAGCCCTTACGCCTATGTAGAGCCAAATAGCTCTCAATAAAAGGGGAGGCCAATTGAAGGCAACCGTAGTTCACTCGATATACTCTCCCATTCCTCTATCCCCCCATAAAAATACATCTTCATTCAGTACAAGATTATGAAGATTGTTTGCTAGTTATTTATCTGTAAGTTAATTCTCAATTAATTATATTTTGTAGTTTGATTCAAAAAAGCTATTGTTTTTATAATGATATACTGTGCAATTCCTATACTGCAATCCTTGTTTTAAGTTCATGGCTTGCTTGTTTTGTTTGCTTCCGCCCTTATATATATATATATATTGGGGTGAATGACTCCTTCATGTCTGAGAATAGCATGAAATTCTAAAATAAACTGGCAGATTGTGCTGCATGTCCATTTGGGTTGGAGCATTACTATATTTGCTTAAGTCTTCTGATTTCATTTGAATCATGAGAACAACTTCAGATAGATTTGAAGTAAAATGGGAACTGGGTGTTTCATTATGCTATTTCTTATTCATTATTCTGTTCTAATGGTTAGATAAGGAAGAACCAGTAAGCTGATCAGAAAAGTATGATAAGAGATGATATATTGAGAGGATTTTGTCTAGCTGCATTCAAAAACTAAAATGGAGATAGAAGTCTACTAGCTTTTACCCTTTTCTGTTTTCTAGTATCTTGTTTGATTTTCTATAAACTCTTCATTGTTCATTATCTTGCGATCCTCAAAATAATTCCACATTCATCATTCATGTTCTTGTGCTACGCAGTTACGAACCTTTTTGATCCGGAATGGCTTATCAATTCTTTTCAAAGAAGGTCCAGCTGCATACAAGGCCTACTACCTAAGGTAATCTTGTGCATTTGTTTTCATTGAGCTGTGGTAGAAACCTGAAAAATGAGGTGATATTTTTTTAATTCTGCATATCCATTTTTTTGTGTATCGCCAGATAGAATGCCAAATGATTGAAGGTAATAATGACTATTCAAGATGGATGATGTGTTTCTCTCTCTCTCTCTCTCTCTATGTGTGGCATGTGTGTTTTTGCACTGGTGCATTCGTGCTTGTGAGTGTATCATTAAACAGATTCAAAATCTTGCCCATAGTTGTTGGACTAAAACACTGTCTGCAAACTGTGGTTGTGTGTGTTGGTGTGTGTGCTCAATTGATCTTTATGGCACATACAGAAGCTTTTGCATCCTCGGTACTGAAGGTTAAGGGGCAGTCCTCTACATCTCTGGCTTCCAATGTTTTTGCTGGTTTTTTGTTAGGTTTTACTGTCTAGCATTTTGAAATGTGGGCAATTTCATCCAAGCACACCTGTTATTGTGCTGTGCAATTTTTACATCCCATTTATCAAGCTAATACAAGCACACATAACAATATCGTTGTGTTATAGGCAAATGAAAATATGGAATACCTCTGCAGCAAAGCAGGGGGAACTCAGCAAGATGCTAGATGAATGGTAATGCATACTGCACTTTTATTTGGTTTTTCCTCCTGAGATAATAATCAGTGCACACTTTCAGTAAGTCTTCTCTCTTGAGATAATAATCAGTGCAGCATGTGAAAACGAAATTTTCCTTTGTGTTCAGGGCAGTGCATATAAGAAGGAAGTATGGACATAAACAGCTATCATCGTCTATCTACCTAAGTGAAGCTGAGCCCTTTCTCGAACAGTATGCAAAACGCAGTCCACATAATCAGGCTTTGATAGGATCCGCTGGAAACTTGGTGAGAGCTGAGGACTTCTTGGCCATTGTTGAGGAAGGCAGAGATGAAGAGGGCGACCTTGAGATAGAGAAGGGGCTGGCACCGTCAAGCCCCAGTCGCTTGATCAAGGACAGCGTTCTAAAGGATGAGGGTCTGATAGTATTTTTTCCAGGTAACATGTGATATATCTTTGATAAAACAAGTTTGGTTTTTGGATTTATATATTTCTGTGAAGTTACATGTTAGATTTGTTTGATCTTGTGAAGTCGAACAGATGCTTTGGGTTTCTGGAATAGGTTTATTTAGTATGCTACGTCAGAAGGCGAATTAAGATGCTAAGGGTCTTCTCTAAACCTACTCGAGAGTTTGGATGCAAAATGATGTTAACATTGGAAACAACAAACAAATATGTTATTGTGGACAAATCTTTCAAGCAATGCATAAAAGTACTAAGCACAACTAAGAATCCAAAGATATAGAGCATTTAAGTTCCAATTTTTCAAGTACCAATTATTATAGTATGTTTCACAGTGAGGTTATAGTGTTGACCAATATGTAAACAATCATTTACAATCTCATACCCAAAAAGTCAAGAGCTTTAGGAAAAGTAATAAAGAGCAGAAAAGCGCTCAGCCTCAAAAGTAGAAACAACATTAGAAAAAAGGGAAGGCTGACAAAACGATTAAAATAACAGGTCATTCTTAGCTGTGTGACAAAACATTGGGTTTAGGGTTGTAGTGTTGTACTCCTCTAATTACTATAGAAAAGAGTGGTAATGATCCGCTCAACAGAAGCAGAGGTATCAGATATACCTAGAAACATGTAATAGATGAACAACAATTGGAGAGATAGGCATTGGAGAAAGAAAATGGTTCAAGGTCATAGTATTGACAGTCGACTAGGACGACACTGAAACGCAGTTGTTGCATTGTAGAATGTTATTGGGCAACACACACGAAATGATAGATAGAATAACTTGAACATGACGGGATATTTAGGTCATATTGTGGTGTTGCATAATGATATTAGCCAATTCGACGACGATGAATCTAACGACTCGGGGTTCACTCTGAGATATCTCAAATTACTGGGCCTAGTCGCATGATACTTATGGTCTATATGGAAAGTGAAATGGTATTGGAATGAAAAGTGCCAAGTTAGATACAACTTGACCAAGTTGTATTGAAAGGGAAATCTGGAAGAAGTTCCTTTCAACCATGGTTTGGTTATATGAGAATTCAAGAGTATTTTAGGATCAATCTTTTCTATTAGTTTAGCTAGGAAGAATAGTTTTCGTAGCTTCTTTTTGGGTCATATCTTTAGGAAGTTTCATAGGGGTATTTTTGTTGGATTCCCATCATAATTTAAGGGTGGTCATATTTTATTTTTTTCGTGTATTTTCTATTTTGCCTTTGTTTTTAATCCCCTTGGGACATATCTTGTCATCCATAATATATTTATTTTTATCCTCTATCCTTCTGATTATTGTTGTCAATACTATTTGTCGTTTATAAATAAATAAATATTTTGGAATTTAATGTTATTTTTTGATTTACCTCCCCAAATAGTTGAGACATGTTTTTCGCCTTGTCTGGATGGTTTTAGGATATTTGCGGGCCATGTCATTACAAATTTGAATTTGACGTTTCAATACTTTGTTTCAATTTATATTTCTTTGACAAGCTTTTGGATAGAGTTGAGAACTTGAGATACATGCCTTAAATGGTTTTTCCATCTGGGAATTTGAGGCATACATTCTCTAAAATCTGAGATTGTAAAGCTGTAATATGCCTCAGTCAACGTCCATCATGAATAGTATGCAATTCTTCAGCCTTGAGCTGAATATGGTACGCTTAGTTATAACGAACCTGGGCCAGATGGGAATCTAATGTGATGTACATTATTTTTATGTGGATACCGTTTTAAGTTCCAAAGAAAGCTAGCAGCTGGTGCTTACATGGATGGCATCCAGCTTTCTTCGCAATTTTGCTGTTACAGCAATTTCAGGAATTTAGTTTGGGGTATCTCGGGTGATCTAGTAGTAACGTTGTTACTTGGTCTAGATATGGTATCATGGAATTTAGAAGTGGTAATGTGTAAATCTTTGGTGCAGATCGTGAATAATTACAGAAAGATTTACTCCCTAATAGCAAATCAACCGCATTAAATTATCTGTGGTGTACTTTTTTGGGTTTAGACGAAAATTTTTTTAGAAGGTGGCAAGGATCAAATTTTTTTTTCGAAATGGTTGAAACGTTTGAGACATTTTCATTTTTGAGGAGATCGAAACGAATCAGTGATAGAATCGAAATTCTAATACTTCGACGTGTTTCATAATATGTAGAGGTGTATTGTAAAGATTTAATGCACTTACACAATTGTTTTAGAATGTTTCAAGGTATTTCAAGATACTTTGGTATATTTTAACTAATATTTTGGAAAAATTATTCTTAATTTTTTTTCATTCTGTTTCTGAAATAGGTCGAAACGTGTCTGAAATATTTCTGTTTTCTAGATGACCGAAACAATGTATCGAAACAAAATTTTAATCCTTGGATGATGGTCATTTTTTAGTCATTTTAGAGATTCTTTGAATGGGAGAATCTCCCTTGAATTTTAGGAAACCATTTTTTTTTTTGGAACTTCTGCACAAACAGGATTTATCACTTTTAGTGGGATTCTATGCTTTGCCAGGATCATGGGCTTTGAGATATTTCTTGGGTTAGTATTCCAGCCCGCAGCTGTTTCATAATTCAGTTTCTTTGCCATCTTATTCCTCTCGAATCATTCCCTTTGGAACATCTGAAATATCTCAGGATAGTACCTTATTCTGTGCTTTCATAATTGTAAAGTCATTGTTTCCATTTCTTCTCCCAAAAGGAGGAAAGAAGAGGGGGCATATGCTTAGCCAGTTCCAATCAAGAAAGCCTTCTAGGCCATCTAGTTTGCATGTTCTTTCTTCTCAAAGGTTTATTATTAAACGTAGGTCCTCTGCATTAATTATTATTACTCTTCCATTTTCAGGAATACCTGGATGTGCTAAATCTGCACTTTGTAAGGAGATATTAAGTTCCCCAGGAGGACTTGGGGATGATCGTCCAGTTCATAGTTTGATGGGTGATCTTATCAAAGGTTTGAGTATATAAACTGTCTGAATTTTTTTGTTATGATGGTCAAATCTCCATCATTCTATCTTTCTGCATATTATTTTGTGAAGATGAACTTGCCATTCAATTAACACTTGAAATTATGGTTTAAATAGCAATATCTATATAATAAAACACATAACAACGTGAATTATTATCCCTTACATATTTTTCAAAAATATCACATTACTCATTTCTATCACATGTTCAATCATTTAATATTTGATTAATTTATAGTTTAATATAATTTTTATTTGAAACATTATTTATATACGATAATATATACATGTTGAAAAAATTTAATACAGTGGGATCGATTTTTTGGGTGCTCGAACTTTATGTTCTATCGTGCCTTCAGGTTATGACTAGTTTCTTATATTTTTTTTTGATGTATCTGCGTTAAGTGGCATTCAAATTAATGGTCAACATCTTTGAATTCAAGACACTAATTGGTACAAATAATTTCATATCAAACTAGGCATTGCTGATCTAGTATGTTCTAGTTCATTTTAATGATTTTATCTGCAATTTTTCATCTCTAGGAGAGAATCAAAATAAGTTGAAAGTGGATCAAAAGGACCTTTTTTTTTTTTTTTTGCGGTGCCCAGGGAAGGGAGGGGGGGGGGGGGTTAGTGATGCAGGCAACATAAGACACGTGCTTTTTCTTTTGAAGGTTATGGGGCTGAAACTACAAATTTGTCATAATACTGGAAATGAATGAAGGTCACATGGTCCTGATGAAGCAAAGCCGTAGGGATTTGATATGCCAATGATAACTTAAAGAATAACGCTGACATGTTCAAGATTCCCTGTAACATGGTGGGTATTTAGGATTAATGTGTAATAGTAACTGAAAACAATTACTTCTTGCTTTTGGACACAATGCAAGAAGAATGGCTCACTAAATCCTGTTTCAGAGGCTTTTGAATAATATATAGTGTAGGCAGGCACCCTTTCATTATCAATGTGCTCAGGGTGTGAAATACATGTAGAAAGAACTTGATTACAATTTAAGTTAATTTCAACTAAGAATCTTAACCTTGGAAAACATGTAATCTCAGCTTGGTTCGTTGTCAAGGCAACCATTGACTGTGGGGTTGTTAAGATATTGAGCTGCTTGATTGATTATCGCCTTTTTTTTAGGAGGCTGTGCTTTTTCATTAAATGTAGTCCTAGGTTCATTTTTGCTTATTCTCATCAACAGGAAGATATTGGCAGAAGGTGGCTGATGAACGAAGGAGAAAACCATATTCTATTATGCTTGCCGACAAGAATGCACCAAATGAAGAAGTCTGGAGACAGGTCACTTGTTTTTTCTTTCTGCTGTGTCCTAAACCCCCTTTATTCTTTATCCAAATGGAAACACATGGGCTTTCAGGCATCAGAAGATGTGTCTGGCATTGAAGGTAGTCACTTAGTGTCAGGAAATCCTGAAGCTACCCAGTCCATTCTTCCAATTCCCTCCATTTGTGAGATCAAATATTTAGCTCCTGATAGGGTAGCAGTGCCCATTATAACTAATAGGGCACCACTGGTCAAATTGGAGGCAAAAAATGGCATTTCTTGGTGTGAATATGGACAGTCATGGCCATGTCTATGGGGGATGTTCTTTTAAAATGGATGAATATTCCAGTTCTTTAACTGCCGCTCTAATACAAGATGAATGTCTACCTAGCAATGCCCGTAGGCATAGAGAGGGGTAAATAGGTCATATGCTAACAACAATCCAATGACCTTATTCCTCGCAAATTGGTAAGCCATACTAGATTATCAGATTATCAATAGAATAACAAGTACAACATGCAAATCAAATAATTTGATCATCCAACCACCTATGATCAGCATATTGTATGTAAGGTAAATTATTGACAGTCCCCAAAGTTTACCACTTGTTGGACTTTGGTTCTTAAAATTTTAATTTTAGCCAATTTTGTCCTTGAAGTTCCCTCGTTGGACCAATGTAGTCCCCCACACTAATTACCGTCTAAATTATTGACAAAAAATCATCGCATGCATGACACACGTGGTTTAAGGTATCGGTTGAGTCCGATACGATATCAGTACACGTTACACAAAAATCACGAGTCTCACTTGAATCGGTAGTGAATCAGTTATGACTTAGTGAAATTGGCTTTACTTGGAGTAATATCGGTGTAACTCGGATGAGTCATACTAAACTCCAATCGATATTGTAAAATTCTTCCAAAATTGAAAGACAAAATGCAAAAAAAGACCAAAGTAGAGGAAAAAGAGGGATAAAAAATAAAACAAAAAATCAGACTCAGATTTTTAGAAGACAAACCTTCAAATCGAAGGCATAACTGTCTTTCTTCTTCTTCTTCTTCTTCCATTCGCATAAGAAGCAGCACAGATCGCAGCAGAGACCCAACATCATCCTTTGTTCTTTCTTTTCTTCTTCTTCTTCGCAACAGAGATCCAACATCATCGATCGCAGATCAATGGCAGAAACCCTAGGCTACTCGACAATGACTACTCGACGCCCCGGACGATCTTTGTTTCTCTTCGGTTCTTCTGGTCTCTCGTGGCTTGCCTCTCGTCTATCTCCTTCTCTCTCTCTCTTTCTCTCTCATCTGAGAGTCTGAGACGCACGAAGAGACCATCAGACCCAAACCGAGTCTTTTAAAGACTCTTTCTATTGGGACTTGATTGTGATTAATTTATTAACTTAAGAATGATTAATTTATTTTACTTAGGTTGGGTAATTTATTAAAGTGTGGGTAATTTATTAACTCAGTGTTGTTAATTTATTAATTTAGTGTGATTAATTTATTTTATTTGTGGATATTAGTTTTTGGGCTCACTTTTTGCCCAAATTTACTCTTTAATAAATCATTAAAATATTTAATGTAATGGTTAGATATTCCAATTATTTATTTATTAAATAAAAATGTGAAGTATTTTATTTTAAATCAAATACTAAATTATTATCCTTATGGTATAAATTATCCCAATTTGTATTATCTTAATGACAATAATGATGATCTTGAGCATCATTGTCATCCAATGTAGCAATGATTATGAATATGTTCTTAAATGCTTAAATTGAATATTGATAATCGTAATTATTTTCGATAACGCCCTCATGTTTCATTTTAATTGTGTTTAATGTATTTTTGAATGTATTTGTGAAAATATGATGCATGGATGATGAAGTTTGTATTTTTTAGATTTTTCATGATTTTTTTTCAAATTTTTTTGAAGTTTCTACCTAGCGTTTTGAGCGTAGCAGCTGATACCGCGATGCCGTGACCGATGTATATTAGTACCCACCGAGTTGATAACCGATACCGTGATTTCGAACCATGATGACACATGACTGCTATTAATCACAATTTTGTCATTGTACAATTCTTGTAACACTCTTACTCCTCGTTTAAGCAAACATTAGACATTTACCCAAACAAACGAGTTTTTTCTCTTTTCTTCTTTTTTCATCTCTCACACAACACACTTCATAATAGAGCACCCAACACACATTATCTCAGTGGCTCTCTTCCCCAATTAATTCTTTGTGCACAACACACACTCCTAAAACCCAACACCTCTATGTTTTCCTCCTTTTGCGTGCAAAAAACAACAAAAGAGTTACGTCCAAATAAGCACCCAGAAGATACACACACAAGATGTTTCTCTGTCTACAGGCAATAAAGTCGTGTTGTCAATTAATCAAAACCAATACTACCCAAAACTTCAGTACTTCAACCTAATTCATCCTAGTTAAAACTCAAATTAAATGATCAAAATTGAAATCAAAACCCAAATCACAATTGAAATCAAAATTGAAACCAAAATATTTGTAGAGAGAGAGGGAAAACGAAAGAGTGGAGAAGTTGAGAATTGGCTTGCTGCTAAAAAAGTGAGATTACTTTATGGTTGTTCTGTGGGGATTGTGTTTGGGGTAGAGGTAGGCTTGCGGCAATGGTGGAGGGCAGAAGAGGCACTTGGAGTGTTTCCAACTGTGCGAAGAGGAATTAACGAGAGAGAGGGCGCCAGGAGTGTTAGAAGGGTGGAGGCAACATAGGAGTGGAGATGGCGGTGTGTCGACTGTCTTTGAGATACACACGTGCACATATGGTGGGGGTGGGGGGTTTATCGTTTAGACAGAGGGAAAAAGGAGAGTTGTTTTGTTATGTTTTTTCTCATAAATATATTATATTTAATATAAATTATTGGACTCTTATGCTTATAATTATACAAAGGTAGTAGTATTTCTTTTATATCCTTTATTGATGAAAAAATGACCTAATTACCCTTAATAGCTGTCACATGTTATGCACGTGATGATTTTCTATTATTTATTGAAACGGTTATTTGTGAAAGAGACTACATTGATCTAGTTAGTGTGTGAACTTCAAGGATGAAATTGACAAAATTTTAACTTTAAGGACCAAAGTCTAACAAGTGGTAGTCCTCGGTGCAATTTACCCTTATAATCTTATTTGCTTTGCATTTTTTTTTTTAGAGGAAAGGAGAGAGGGATTTGAACCCTTGACCTCAGTATGGCAAAGCCTTCACGAGGTAAAGAGTACTATATACACCAAATAATGTGGGGTATGGGTCACCACAATTCAATCTTTTAGGTCCAAATGTTCTTGTTTAGGACCCATTATGACCTAACTGAAATGGGATTCCAAAAGATTACTTCCACCACCTCAGTATGTTCTTGTTGTTTTTAAGATGCATTATATAAGGAAGATCTAAAGTGTATACTTATATATGATCCATACACATTTCAACAATCGGCGTGGGATATGACTCTGATACTATGTTAGAGTAGTTAGCATATGTAGTCTTACGGGTAGCTTAGTCTTTTGTTTTATATTATGTTGCCCTACTATATAAGAGCTTCCATTGTGTATCCCACATTTATGCTCTGATAGATTATTATAGCCGTAATATAGTTTCATTCTTTTCTCTCTTCTCTCTCCTTTGTTTTGATCAATATTATCATGATTTCAGAGCAATTAAGATCCTAAACACAAAATCAGACAAGTCATGTCTAGAATCACACTGATTCAGTGTCTGTCTAGAATCATGCTGGGTCTGTCTGAAATCAGCTCTGGATTTCTTTGAGTCTTCTCGTTGTTGGGTCTTTCTCACTGAACCAATTGCTGCACAGACTACTGGTTCTGGTTGTTGGGGTTGCTGCTTCTTCTCTTGTGCTGGTGCTTCTTATTGCTGGGTCTTTCACATTGAACCAGTCGTTGCACAGATTGCTAGTTCTAGTTGTTGGGTTTGCTACTTCTTCTCTTCTGCTGGTGCTTTTCGTTGTTGGGTCTTCCTTGTTGAACCAATCACTACACATACTGCTGGTGCTTCTCGTGGCTAGGTCTAGCTTCTTATTCTGGTTGCTTCTTCACATTGTCGGGTCTGATTGCTTCTTCTTTGTTTGGTTTGCTACTCTTACGATTGCCTTCTTCCCGATGGCATTCTAGGTAAGAAATCCTAATTACTAGGGTTTGTTGATTTCGGCTACTGCTGGTTTGGGGATAGTTCTGGTTTGACCATTATTCTGTTAATTTGGGTTATTGCTGCCTTGGGCTACTGTTGGTTTGCCTATTTTTCTTCTACTATGTTTGGGTTTTGACTTTTGGGCTTCTTATTTGTTGGTATTGGACTATTGTTCTACTGGGACTTGGGCTTTGGTTTATTGGGCATTGTTGTTTGTTGTCTTATTGTTTTGCTAGGCTGTTTTACTCTTTTGGGCCCTTATTTGCTATTTGGGTGTTGATTTGTTGGGCCTTTAACTTGGAGTTTGTCGACCCTTATTTTGAGATTTGTTTCTCTCTCTTGGTTTGGTGTGGACTAACTGCTTATATTATGGTTTAAGTTGTTGCTTCCTTGTGATGCATTGGGCCTTGGGCTTTGTAGTTTGGAATTGGTTCAGTTGATTTCATTGTTGTTATTTCGATTCTCCTTTGTTGCAATTATGGCGAGTAATTGTTTTGACTTTCATCTGTCCATTAGTTTAAAATTAGGAGTGGCAATCGAGTCGTGTCGTGTCGGGTTCATGAAGGTCATTACAGGTTCGTGTCGAACATTAGTTAACCCTAACCCAACTCATTTAACTAATCGTGTTGTGTCGAGTTGACCTGTTTATTTTCGTGTCATGTTCGTATTCGTGTTGAATCATATAAACTTTAATTAGAAAATTTAACACTAAGATTCTATTTTCACTTAATTGAATCCATTCTCCCATACATAACAGTAAACTAATAATCCAAAGAATCGCCATCAATGTACAATTCCAAAAACCTTTTCTTTTTTCCTTTTCCCAAAACCCAAAACATAATCTGGCATCGATTTCTCCATTGTAGAAGGATAAACCACATCTCTAATCACATTAAACTATTTAATCCACAAACCCCAAGCAAAAGCACAATGAATGGCCTTCACATGTTTTCCTTCTTCAACAAATAATGCCAATGGCAATTGGCCATGCCTCATTCCTTGACTATTATAGCCATGCTGCTGCAGTTGCCAGAAGGGGCTCCATCCAAATCACTCAACATTTTGAACTGCATATCTAGAGACTTAGCAGTCCTTGTGGTGTTCATTGAATGCTCAAAATTAAGATATTCCAAAAACTTATGC